GTTGTGTGCGCTCTATCACTAAGCCCAAAGATGCTTGCCGATATATCAGCATTCTCTAATGCTATATAATTGCTACATATAAATGCTATATAATTATACGTTTTTTAAGTCAGGCTTAGAAAGCATCACATTATCTCAAACAGCAAAGAATCAACGCGCGTACACAAACCAACGGATTCTAACGAGCATGGGGTGATAACAGCTGATTGTAAATTCATGTTGGCTTTCTCGAACCCATCCGTTACGACGCAGAACTTAAGCGTTTTCAAGAAAAGTTATCAGTGACGTATACAGTCACTGTTTGTCACAGTGAAGAAGTATCTATTGTCCCTTTATCATATCCATGCAGCTGTGACCTTCCACTCGAACATTCAGGATCGAATCTTTGGCCCACCCTAAAACTTAAATGTAACACGGGCAAGTGTTTTCTAAAAACCTTCTAATCGATAACTTGTTTATTTTCCATAATATCTAGAGGTCACTATGTCACCTATCGATTACAATTAAATCGAGGATTTCGATCGCTACGCACGAATTTGGCTTAGGCTGTCTACTCGATTTGGAAAGCTGTCGTCAGGAGAAACAAGAGACTGATAATGAATATAGTTAATCAGCGTTTTCGCATATCTATAGCAAAAGTACCACGTGAATTTCTTCACAAGATAGAGGCGGACGTAGTTGCAAAATTAAACGGAAAAACTGTTTACCGATCGTGGGGGGCCCGCCTCAAATGATTGACCTATCCACGGAAAGCAACTATAACAGCATCACCGCAGTCCTGTTTTCGGCAAACCTAGCCTAGACGCTGAAAACGCGAAAAGCAGCTTAAACATGACCGAGGCCTCACAGGCTTCGTTCGTCCTTTGTTCGTCCCTATTAGCCCGCATTGCTATTTCAATAAAGCTGCGACAATTCACTCAGGTTGTTTCTATGCTGTTTTACCTACGCCAAAAGTATTCATTCTTAATATCCGACAATGTAGTTTTCGTTGATTACATTAGAGGCTTGATTTTTTCGCTATAGCAAGATGAGCTTAGCAGTTCCATGGCCGGCTGGTGGATTCCATAGTTTCAACCAGAGTTGAAGAGCAATTGGTTAGTACTGAAACATCCGGCATTTGCCTGCTCCCTAATCACATGCCAAATTTCCAAGCATCCAAATACTGTCTTTTGCAAGTACACTAAGAAGAGCAATTCTTTGTTCCCTGTTAACTTTGAAATCAAACGCAAATTCTAGTTTCCGCAAATTTCGCAAGAAAAACACGGACGAGCGCGTGGTAGGAACCAAAACATGTCATGTCAAAGGTTCACTCAGCCATTGCGAAAAACTCGCAGAAAAGTTTTATACCTCACACGAGACCCTCGTATTAGACTGCTTTGTTTATAGCAAAAATTGTACAAAGGGCAGACTCGTCAATCATAGCATCCAGAGAACCTAGGTGCAGTCAAAGGGGAGTTCCAACACGTCGCCGCAGGTGATCAGACCTGGATACATGGGCACGGTGGAGAGACAAAACGACAGTATTCGAAGTGTCGCTTCGAAGTCAATTTCAGAATGAAGAACACTACAAGATCCGGGTCCTTTTCACCATCTAGTTCGACGGTAAAACGATCGTCCGTCATACACACATACGTACCGAGTGGTTTTACCAAGAGTAGAAATATTAACAATATGTTTTACGAAGGCTATGGACTTCTTTCTGGCAAAACAGGGCGGAACTGTAGGAGCCGATACTGCCCATGCTTACACGTTACCATATGTACCATGTTGTACGCAGGACAAGTTAATACCTCAACCCACGCACGCATCAGATCCTGTTTCCGGTGGTCTTCCTGCTTCCGGAGCTCACAAAAAAGCCTTGAGAAAACTTAAGAAAAAGATGAGAATATAATCGCGGCAATTCGAAAACGATTTTAACGACTATAAATAGTGAAATATAGATATCGATTCTAACAGGGACAGTGATATATAATTGGTACAAAGCCGAAACCTGAATGCTATCTTATTCATCTCCATTAAATGGCCCATCAAAGTAACTTCATAATTTTCGACTTTTGTTTTAGCACTTCTGTTTCATGCAATATTATTTCTAGTTCTTTTTTTTTTTCGTGAACAGAAACGGCAACCGGGATACGCACTACCGAGAAGGAAATGTATAAGGGGAAAGCTATAATCGAATTAGTATGACGTTTTCCGTGCCTTCGACCGGACTCGGTAGCCACAACGCAGGTTGTTGATATATGTTAAAAACCTGTTTAAGCAGATGACTATATTTCGGAGAAATCAGTAATTCTATTTCTCTCACATTTGGTACCAACGGACATACGATTTTCATGTGGTACCACTATAAAGTTAACTGTTGTACGATAACGTTAAGACTATGGAGTAATATGATAACAGAATCGGAATTGGAACCTAACCCGTTGTAGAAGCTGATATCCCACACAAGCAAAGATCCCGATAGAACAAGTAAATCGAGACAAAGCTTCGAAATATTGTTAGTGCTTATAGGTATTTTATCCTACGTAGGGGACACCCATAAGGGATATGTGGATTATTTATTGAACAATTCGTTTCATTCAGTTCATTTATTCAGATAGTTTGTTTTAACATTAATTGCTTCGTATTGATAACAGAGTATCCTCGAACTCGCCTCTGTTTCCTCGGCATTACATATATATGTATGTATATGTATATGTAAAGACCAACATTTTGCGGGCTTGTATAGGCTAACGAGGTAAGGCTGTATAAGCCAAAAGTGACTCTCTGTGGCTCGCTAATGATTTTGAACAAGGACTCCAGTTGCTCTAAAGCTGAAAGAAAATGCCTTGATTCATCAATAACGACGCTAAGACGACGCTTACTGATAGGACAAATACTACGATTCCTATACAATAAATCCACGAAGGTCTGATATACAGTGCATAGCCTGTTTCTGAATGGGTGTTAGATACTGGTACGTTCACAAGCTGCATTTAGTTCGTGAATAAACATAGCGTTTCCACCGTTTCCAAAGCCGGATCAGCCGCATTGAGCTTTATATAACTACTCACAGTAATGCATGATATTGGTATGTTCCAATCCACGATGTGGACGAGAACAATGCTCTGTTCGAACGATTCCAATTAAATCGTAACAACTGCCCCCGAAAGCAGCACATATAACAAGTTCTTCGTTACAATAATCAGCGCGTTCATTCGGCCCAGGTTTACATCGAGCTACTCAGACTGTTGAAAAGAAATGACCGAAGAACTTTAATTGACTTATTCGTGGTCAATTGGTGTGACAATAGGAGAAGGCCACACGTCGTAACGGTCAAGAACTTGAAAGGCAGTTGGAAAATTTCAACACAACGCCCACTTCCAACATACATAATTTGGTGGAAAGATGGAAGGAACTCGTGGATACTGAAGGAGGAAGAAATATTTTGCATGTACTTACATGGCCTCAATTAGATACTTGTACATGCTCTACGATCATCTTTGGTATAATAATACCTTAATATACAACAAAATTCGTTGAGCACTAATGAACGATAGTTATTTAAGGTCCGAATGAACCCGAGGCGCGAACCATGAAAAGTCGAGCCGTAAGTTCCATGTTAGGAGTCAGTTTCCGTTAATATCGTCAGCTGATCGCGATAGTAGTTACAAACAGGTGCCCCGCGACAAATAATAGAAATAAGAATGGAAGATAGCGCCCCTTCCGTGCACCGGTCCCCATGATAAGCATGTCCTTCCTAACAAAAGATGAACATATAATAGGTGCAGCAGAATACGATGGGTTATAGCCAATCCAAGGTAGCCCGCAATAGCCTACACACTGAAAAATTTGACAGAATACTGTTTTGAAAAGTTGAATAGTAGTTATTTTTTAAAAGTTTTGCAGTTACAAATAGTTGTGTTTGATTACCAACAAGAGCCGCTCGCAATGACAATCATAACGAAGCTAACTAAACTATCAACCGGCCCTCAGAGAGATACCATCTATTTGTCGAATTTGGAGAAGTCATCAGGGAATTCCACCAACGAGTCAGACCAGTCAGAGTATGCAAAGTCAGTCACGTGTATTAAGCACTCATATTAATCTATTGTATTATAGTGCCTTGAGTAATGCCCGCAAATGTTAAATTTTGACCGCAAGGTAAACGTAATTTATTGCCTCTTAAAAAATGTTCCACACGAGTATTGCCAGCCAAGACCTTCAGTTACGTGACAGTCTATGCACAAGATGCTGTGAAAAGCATGGCATCAATAATACGAAAAAAAAACATGGCAAAACGAGACGGCCTATCTGAGGGTGACGAGCAATCATTAATTGTTGAATCAAGACTTCGGCTAATATATTTTATGGCCGTTTCACCTAGTGCCTTAAGCCTTCACGTATTCCCGGTTAAATTGGCTTTCGTGTCCTGTCTGTGAGCAAAGAAACTTCGTTTAATTATGCTTACTATGGAAACAGTTTGTATAGTGATAGTATGAGACCTTCATGTGACTCGAGCCTTGATTGTTAGTTGGATGGCAAATGGCAACTATGTCTACTGTGTTTAAGATTCGAAAACCTGAAGCAAAAAAGTTCAATAAAAATTTACCATTACTTCCATTGTACTATATATATATATATATATATATATATATATATATATATATATTTGACATACATTCGTTCATATAGAAACTTACTTTGTCTTCGTTGAAAATGTCTATTGTCTCGTCTACATTACTCGTTATTCTCTCTACCGATTTGGTTCAAACACAGACAAATGGGATAATTAAGAGAAAATTAATTAAAAGTAAGTCGGCCAGACTTATGCTTGGATATTACATATCTATGCAGGCAAGATGAGAATCGGCGTGTACGTGTATCTTACAATCAATTCTATAGGTCTTTTTTATATTGGGTTATAATTGTCACCTAAAAAAAGCTCGCGCAACAGTATCACGTATTATACGCGTTAAATGTAGACATCTCGTGATTCGTGTGTGCCAGTGTCTACTTACGGTCGTTGTAACAGAGTTTCCATAAGCCGCTGAAGGTGAACTTGGAAAGGTACTCCTTGTCTCCCGTACCGTTGTAGCGTGGATTGGGCATCAACTCCTCAGATTGCAACCAGCGATCGGTGAATAACGCTACACCTTGCGCCACAAGCGACCCGAGCGCGGTTAGCGGCGTCAGAAGCCGCAAAAGTCGTACCGTGTGACGAGACATCCCGGTGATGACTACTAGTCGTTACTGCGCGAATGGCGGCAGATGAACTCTGCCGAACCACAACTAAAAGCAATGTTTCCTTCTCGTTGTTGCTGCCGATTTTGCCGTTGTTATCAGAATGATCAACAACTTTATAATAACGGTACTGTTGATGTTATGGCGACTACAACGTTAGCCCGCCCTTTCTTTGACTATTGAAATTACAGCTGCCAACGTTCAAAATGGAGCTAAGCTTGGCTGCGGCCGCTGGCGCCCACCAAACGGTTTTTTTCTTCCTTCTCCTCCTCTTTATAGCAGCAGCAGCAGCAGCAGCTGCCGCTTCTGTTGCTTTCGACTTGGTCGTGCTGCTGTCGTTACTGCAGCTGATGCTGCTTTTGGCCTGGCCTCTGCCCTGTATTATGCAGCCGACCCTGCAGCTGCAGAGGCTTGGTCCGCTGGGGAGGCGCGTTTCCGGGGCATCCGCCGTGATGATCTTACCCGCCGCCGTGTCCAGCGGCGTCCAGACCCGCAGGCCCGCCGTTTGCACTCTTTCTTATAAGAACCGCTTTAGCGTTCCGACTAGTTGTTCTTCACCGCTCCGTAGACAATTACAACGTATAAGGAAACCCAACCAGCGACAAGAACTTAGGCCGCAGAAAACCCCGTCTCCGTATTCCAGCAATACCAGTTCCGTGTCCTTCCAAGCTGGGGAACCTGCAGTTGGTACCACAGCTGCTGCTTGTAATGATGATGATGGTGATGATATCGAGAAGTCACACTTTTTATTCGTTGTTAATAATGTAATGGCGTTGCACATCACACTTCGTCAGGGGCAAGTACCTCGCCGAGATGGAACTACGCCAGTCATATGACACAGTCCTTCGCTTTGCTGTTGTTGTTGTTTACCTATGTTTCTGCACGTATGGAAAGGATCATAATTTTACGCATAATCATAGCAGTAGATAGAATTAAGCCACTGCTAATAATTCCAATAAAAGAAAGCTAACGATCTAAAAGACACGTGCGTCGATCACCAATCTTATGCCGGCCAACCATGCCATGAAGGCGCCTTGTGGCCTTGATGGATTTCAGTTGCGTTCCTGCTATGTCCTAGCCTGGGTTCTCTTGTTGTTTCAGTCAGCGCCGCAGACTCTCGAGAGAAAAATAGCAGCCTCGTAATTTTGGGCCGGCCAGTCAGCTAAAGTTGATAAATCGATATGTAGAATACTTCCAGTAGTTCGAGCAGCAATAGTAGAAATGACTTGCTTCTACATATTGCATGAGACTATGAGAGTTTATAGGCACTACATTCTTTATTTTATCGCGAGCGCTAAGCGTACTCACGACCGCATTGTATGTTACTGCTGTATCTGGCTCAAACTAGTCTCTAAAAGGCTCAGGCACTTCTGTATGGAACTTTCTCCTTTTATATGCACTCCACATACACACTTTCTTTGGGCAAAGCAGGACTTCGCCTACACTGATCACCAGCAGGACTCACAGCAGGTCAATGTTCCGAAATCAGATTTGTAGCAGTAGACGAGTCGCTCAACGGATTTGGTTGGTGGCATGAATTTCGAAAGTTAGAGTGAAAACGCTATGACACCACTCACGCAAAAGACCAGGTCATTGTCATTATCAGATAGCAGATGGATGATCAAAACAACATCTGACAGATAATAACAATAACAGGATTAGCAGGAACAAACTTGTAATTTATTGTTGACAATTTGAACTGATCTACCCCAAAGACTATCCTAGACATGGCTGAGTACAGATATCGCAGCGCTGTCAAAACAGATGTTTCTCATCAATACTCTGAACCATTTTTTATTTGATGCTGGAATATGGCATTGATTCCAAGGACGTTGTTTTCTATTTACCTCTTTCAGTCTAGACCACACACGGCGTTCCGGTTTGACGCGTCGTGGCTATGACGTGGCGTCCTTTATTGATAATCGACAAATGCAGGCTGCTGTAGGAGCCCAGTGTAGGTAAGCAGCGACGTCGAGATCTCGTAAAAATCTAATTAGAATTTGAGCGACAGCAGAAGCATCATTATCATCATAATCCGTTGCATGGTAGCTATGATTTGATTTAAATGGGGGAGGAGGAGGGGGCCGCTTTGCAGCTTTTTGAAGGCCGGATGAGCACCGCGAGTACCCTCCCGGACGTACTCGTTTCCACAGCGACACAAAGATTTTTATCGTCATTATGATCTCGTCGAGCGTCCGCCGCCCCTCATGGCCTCCTTTCTAGATATCTCAAACGACAGGAAAAGATGGCCAGATCTTTCCTGGTGGACCCTAGATGGGTTAAGCAGGGGTTTTGCGCACCAAAGCGACAGATTAGTATGTTGCAACGGTATAGTTTTACTCTAGTCTACCCACTTAACTTCGCTGGACTTGCTCGTAGCCTCCGGGAGGCTGACTGGGTCTTGCACTGCGTCCTACCGGCATCTTCGTTGCGTATTGGGCGTCGACACCGGCTCAATAATATAATGGAGCGGGACCACGGCAACCAGCTTCACCACGGTCACCTGGTACTCTTTGGATCTGTCTGTTTGCTTCTGCACTTCTCACAGCCGATCGCCAAAGTAAATGTTTCTATTTACTGTTTTTCTACTTAGTGAGCTATTGTTTTCGCTGTTCATTTATTTCAATTGATTTCCCTTAGTCTACTTGTCGTCATTACCTCTAGACGAGGTAGTCGCTAGTCAAGTGACGAGCTATTCCAATTAAAATATCCTTCTCCTTCTGTATCAATTCCATTCTTATATTATCCTCATCCTGATTCGAATATTGCTCTTTCAGTAGAACGACTGTGATAATTTCAATAAATTGGTCTGTTACACAGACAATAGGACTAATAAACCAACTATTACAGAACCATCGACGATTATATAAAGGTGAGAATAACACAATCGACGCTGGCCGACGCCTGTATAGAATATGTGAGACTGTCTAAACGGCTCCCAGGCTGGTCTCCTTTTAAAGTTGCTCCTTTGAGCATACTTTTATCCATCCCGTTGCTCTCAACTCCGTGGACCTTGCACTTTCCACTGTTAGCGCTGTGATCGCTACAAATACCACGCGGGTCGTGGCCATTTGCACGCGCAGCTAACGGAATACCTGTAGCAACAGCAGCAAACGCCGTCTCGCGGCAAATTCGCAGTGAACGTCCCTTGTCCTGCTATTGAGGCCCGCACTCACGCCCACATTCGTACGTCGCCGCCGTCGCTGCCGCCGCCACGCACTACACCATCATCAGGACAACCATCAGCAGTTTTATGACGCTGCCACACATTCAACGCACGAACGAACAGACGGACAAACGGCTGAGAACCGGTTTGGTCAAATGATCTGTTTTTCTGCTTAGCACCGTTCCAGAGTCACGATGACGACGACAACGATCACTAGGAATTCTTTGAGGTGTTGTTATCTACATTGAAGGCTACAGTTCGCCGTTGCAGAGCTTTTCGGCAGAATCGCGTTGTCTCCCCGGCCGTTTTGCCACCCCCAGGCGGTCCAATAGACGCACGTCACAGACACTTTGGACACATGGGGGTCTCACCGACTGCAAAAACAAGGATATACACACAAAAACATACGTACTGTTCGTTCCCTCACACGTGCCCTATCGATCAATCATTCGCTGAGATTGATCCGAACCGAATGGACAAGCACAATGGCTTCATCTGACGATCAGCTATCGACAGTAGTTGTGGTAATAGAAATAGAAACGGTGGTTGTAGTAGGCGAAAGAAGTTCTATTACTAGTAATAAGTCGAATAAGTTATTATTATGAGTAATTGATGCAGTAGTACTAATTTTTGTGTAGTAGTTAACCGTAATATTATTAGTAGAGAAGCTAGTCATTGAATTGCACAAATAATACTTCTTTTTTCACCGATGAGGCACTACTTTTTCTTCGTTTTCAGTGAACCGCCAATACAATCGGCACCATCACAGCACTTTTACGACGGCGACCAAGCGGCGAACGGTGGACTTCGGTCATCAGTAGTCGACTGCTGCTGCCTGATCGCTTGGTCGGACCGGTTGATTAGTTCTTTTCTTTAATCAGTAATCGTTCGTTCGTTGACTGGGTGCTTTGCTTGTCCAGGCTGGGCGACAGCAGTAGCAGTACCAGCGCACCTGCGGCGGGCTGTTGGGCGGGCGAACGAGCGGCCTCAGCCCTTCAGCTGCTCCTCGGGGGGCTTCCTAGGCTGTACGCCTGCTGCTGCTGCTGCTGGCTTGGATGGGAGAAAGGCCGCGAGGAGCATGATGGCGGCAGTTATGGCAGCCAACAGCAGCCGCAGCGGTCTTAGGAGCGGCGGAGGCGGTGGCGGAGTTGGTGGCAGCGCCAGCAGCAGTGGCGGACGCACTCCTGCTCTGCAACGAGGGAAAAACAAGGGGACTAGTCGGGGGTACTTGGCTCTAGTCGGCCGCGAACGTTGCACACAGACGACACATCGACATACTGACAGACGCTGCAAACACCCCGTAGGCAGGCACATACTAACGACGATGAGATGCACACATACAGATCCCCCACACGTCCCCTCTCATCAGTGTCGCCTCCCCTCTATAGTTCCCTTTCGGCCCCTAGTTCTCGTACACACACGGAACAAAACTACCATCACTACGATGCGATACCGTTCGCTAGCAGTGCAGCCCTGGCGCGCCAGCACTGCAAGCATAGACAGCTTTTATAGCGTGCACCACTCCCAAGTACCGACCCCCAGCTTCGACACCCTCTAGCATATATTCTACCAACTTCTTATTCCCTGCCATTCCTATGCCTGATATCCCTTCCATAAACCTCCATTTTCTTTACACCGTTTTTCTCTATACTCGTACACAGGCGAGCGTGTTCCTAGCCTGCCAACCCACTACTCCCCCACAAAGTTTCCCTCTGTTCCCCACTCATTTCATACTGGAGCTGGGGCCCCATCCGTCCTCTCCATTCGCCGGTCTATACTTTTAGCGAGGACGTGCTAGACTGTTTCTCCTAGGCCATTTTGCCCTTTCCCTCATCCGCAAGCGAGTTAGCTACCGAGACAGCTCACACAGTCGAAGAAGGTAATGCTGATAGTTGTGGCCCAGTCTCCGTTCCCGTTTGTTTAATTCGTGCTTTTGGACCACCGCCTCCTGCCTGCCCCAAGTCCTGCTGCTGCTGCAGGGACAGCAGCCCTCCTCCTGAGCATCGAGAGCTATCACAGGGCTGGAACCGATCCAAGCACTTCCACCGCCGCCACTCACGAAGACAGAACACAGGGCAGACACAGGCCGATTTCAGCGGCGTCTCTCCTCCGCAGTCTTTTCAAGCCGCTTTTCACCCTCTCCACCAATAGAGATACACGGAACCAGCTAAACATCTTTTCCTGCAGTCACTAGTCGGATGCTGGTCAACTGTTGTCTGTCCCAAGTCGTCTGCTAACGATCCTTCATGGCTTCCGCCGTCGTTCGACCACTCCCTACTTCTACTACTACGATAGATCCAGCTTTCCGATTCCGCTCCCCTTTACTTTACCTAAATCTGGAAGAAGATGCGGAAAAGGTATACAAGATAATAAGAACCAGTGGTGCTCGTATTAGAAGCAACAGTGATAACTATACGATATCAAAAGTGCGATTCCAGAGGATTTAACGCATTCGCTCAATATTTGGAAGTTCCATGGAAGAATTTCATTTTTTCATGAGCATCGTTTCACCAGCTATATAGGCGGGCCGTAAGGAAATTCGGCCTTTTTTTCAGCAGGACCAGGCCAAGATATCGCCGGTGACGGCAATGACTTTTACATAGCCAATATTGTTAGTAAAAAGAAACGCATTTTCCTAGTGGTTTTATGATGACGGTATTTATCTGCAAGCTCATCAAGGGAAAACACACATGGCACGCTAAACTAGATCGAACGTAGGGTCGAGAAGTGGGATAGGCGCCCAATATAGCTTTCAACGGCAATTTTGAACGCTATTGCGAAACATTCAGATCTAATCACATAATGTCATGTAAAATGCATAGCAAACATGGTACCTGTTTTTGTTGGTTGTTCCTTCAGCGTAACTAACCTACTCGGCAAGAAAATGTAATAATCCAACCTCAAGTAGTTAAGGTTTTATTCGGTAAATTAGCTTACCATTCGTTCGTAAACTTCTCGTTTCCATCTTTGCCATACTGGACGTTAAAGGAAAACGGCTCGGCGCCTTTAAGCTCAGGCAATAGTAGGCGCGTCTTGTTACTCTCTCTGTCGTTCTCCCGTTATCCGCCGTCCTGCGCAAACCGACGCCTGCCATATAGCGTCAGTTCGGAACGTTTTAGGTCTGTGTGTGCAATTCCATTTCTGTAGACAAACGGAGATGAGACCCGTGCCTAATTGGCATACGAAACAAGCTTCACCGTGAATTGCAGTTTTCTCCTATTATATATGATGGTAAACTATTTTAATTGAAACGTTCCGAAGGACCGATACTAGATCGGAGCATAATTTAGTAACACTGCTTTAGCAGAAAGAGGTATACGATAATATATAGACAAATAAACATTAAACAGTCGTTAGTTTCACTAATATACCTTTGTTTATACGTTCTGCATCGTGTAGAGGACTACCCTCTACCTTGGATATTTGTGCATTGCTTTACGGACAACTTGGCACCTTGTCCAAAGTTAACGAGACAAAATATTTGCAATGATCATCTCAGCCAACAAAGCTAAATGGCTGTAACGATACGCGTTCTTTATTATTTCAGCTATATTATTACTGACATCGAAACACTCGTTTATCTATGTATGTATTGCAGATTATTTCAATACAACATCCACTTGTTTGTACCGGCACAGAACACTGTGTTAAGGAGAAGTGATGCCGAATTTTTTACAGAGCCATATGATTTTTGTACTCACGTAAATATCCTGATCGATTCTAGTTTGTTTCTATAATTATATTGTAGCCATGTTACTACTACTGCTGCTGCTGCTGCTGTAGCGCCTACCGATTTGTCATAATTGGCGCTAGTTGTTTATTATTAAATATTAAAATTAATATGCATTATCTTATAGATTATTATTGTTATTATGTATTATTTTATAGATTATAAAACACTAAAACTAGTAAACACGCTGATCCGTAATAAATTGTCGTCAAGCGTTGCTTGTAAGGAACAGCGTGTGTCTAAACCCTGTCTCGGACCTATGCGACCCTTCAGTTAACATGCAAGCTCGCACCATCATCGTAGCGACGATATGTACATACCTTTGGGATTTCGCTGAACAGATCAGTCAGCAAACATAGTTTCTCATGCACAGCAGTATATGCATAACTGCTAATTATTCAATGCAGAAATACACTCTTATTCTATCAATGAAGGGCCACTTGATTGATTTTTTCAGCTTATTGTCAAAGTTTTTTACTTTGAACTGAAATTAAAACACACCAAGCAAGCCTAATTGTAGCTAGTTATGCTGGGTATTAGAGCTGGAACAATAATAGACATGTATGAGTCACTTTGTATGCGCAATGAGGAAACGAAAATGTCAGATCGGCCATTCGCCCTTTAAGGAAAAAGTTCCACTAAAAGCAGACGGTCGAGTGGCTCGACTCGAGCCCATAGCCACCTCCCCCACTTGTCGCCTACGTCTATGCAGAGGTTCCTTTACGTTATAGGACAGTAGAATATATCAAGGAATTAAAACCACTGTTATAACTGCGATGCACGCCTTTGAAGCGATGACCCTTAAACTACTGGGAACGCGTATTAGTAGAGGGCAAATATTGCCTCAATTCTTACTCGTTATTATACATATTATACATTATTATTACACGTTATTATACGAATATTATACAACATTGTAAGAAAAGATTGGAAAAACTAGGCCTTTGTTTGGAAATTAGATCAGAAATTAGGGTAGTTATTGTCGAAAGGCAAGGAGCGGAAAGGGTATGCTCATAGCTATATACAAGCACAAAAAATAGCGCTACATGTTACGATGCAGTAACGGCGTAACAGCAGAATCGCCTACTCTAAATCGTAAAGTAAGAGCCCAAAGTGTTAACTTCGCTCCGTACACGTTCATGTATTTAATCTGCTCGCGACACTGCAGTGTACAAAGGTCAATCGAAAGCTGCATCTCGTTGCTTGCCGCTCCTAAGTTTATCGTTACAAGGATCCATAATTTCGACCCGTTAAGTCCATACAAAAAATATACTTCTCTCAGCACCCCCAAAAAAACAAAGAGGTCATTCTGGAACGAAACTTAGTGGTCGCGTGAGCTAGTCCACTCTACGCGTTATCCTGTTTGTTTACTGTTCATCGAAAGATGCACATAATATTATAGCGTAAGGTTTACGCCCGTCGTGGGAAAAACACATCATCATTATTATTTAACTAATTCATTTCGAACAAATAACGTCTCTTCCTTACCCCCATCGTACATTGCGGGTAACGATCGTATCAAGGCAAATGGGCACAACTTATCTATTTACACAACGAGGCCACTCATACTGCAATTCGTAGTTGACTTAACTATTCATAGATCAGAATGTCCTGGAGAATAATAGGCATAATTATGACGATCCACTGTCCTGCAAAGCTAAAAATTTGATTTATTTGCAGTTCTCTCGAGGGGCTCGTTAACCATATATTGGTTTGATGAGAAGATGGCAATCTAAATAGTCTTGCAGTGAACCATGAACAGGTCTTATTCGATATGTCCTCAAGCCTTAAAATATTGTACAACGGAGAAAACCTGCCAGCAAACACAACATGTAGTGGGCGTGTCAGCATATTCTCTTCTTAGCATCTTACGCATTGTTCCTCTACATTGTCATATACCCAGGACGTTTTACAGGACCGTGTACTCTTTCGATTAAGTCCTCATTGCACCAAAGTTAAAAATCACACTTATCTCATGCGCATGTAACTATCTAGTCATGCATCAAACTGGCCGGTACGTGGTTTAGCTAAAGCTAAACATGACATATGGCAGTCTTTCGCCATTTTTATTTCGAAGATTGCTTGACCGAGTCCTCGATCCTGTAAATGCTTTAATAAAAATGAAAATTATCGTATTTTAAAGTAAAAAGCAAGACAAGACGATGTAATTATTTTTTGACTTTCTTGTCACTGTTACTCATTATTGAACCCACCCATTACAGGGACGATATCGTCAGGCTTTTTCTAGGCCAAATTTGCACCTGAAACGTATGCGTTTATATAGCAATCATCAGGATACTGATTGATTGATTTGAATGTTCTCGCGGAACTATGACAATGGACCTTAGGCATGAGCGCTTAACATGAATTTTATAATTACTAGGATTCTCTGGTTGAGTAACCGTATCCGCACTGAGCCATAGTTTCAAACTATTTTCATCAGTGACTGTACACCTTTTAAAATAAACGCTTTAGTCAAGCCATATTGATTTGTAATGTGATAAAATCAAATATGGTGTATGCCTAATATAATTGCCGATCGAAGCAGACTGACGATGAAGACTGAACTCGTTCGATCATGTTATTAATCTTTTAGTGGGGCCTCGCAATAAAGCCAAGGCAGCGAAGCAAATTGTAGTTGGACTTCGAAACCTTGTTATTCTTCAACCATGTAAAAAAACTTCAATAAAGTTCTAGCCAGGAGGTTATTTAGTAATCAATTGCTTATACTCTGTCAACTGCTCGCGCAATGACTCGAGCATCATGGACACTCATGCTACCTAACAATTTGAAACCTTTATTGGTTTTCAATACCTCCTCGGCCTGACATTTGTTTTTCAAAATAGCGTTATTACAAAGTCTTTCCCACGGCCATTTGGTCTGTTTTCGTACGTTAACTATTAGGTTCTGCTGAAGTGTCCAGGGGCTATATTTGTTCATGAGCGAATCGCAAAGGACCAAAATGATTCCAAAAAATTTCTAAGCGATAGAAGAGCATCGCTCTAACTAAAAAATATACTTATTGATTTCCTGAGATTATTGGTTTTGAGCAGTCCGTAGATGACAAAGAAGAACGCCTAAGACAAGATTCATACACTACGATAATAATATGCCGAGACATTCGTAAAGGATAAAAGAAAACCTACCGCTTATAGGGAGATTCCTTCTATCGTAACTATCTATCGTGCAAGGATAGCATCTATGCACGATAACTGCCTAATTGTCTGACTGCACGTTTAACCTGCTTAATAAAACCGGCTAACTTTCATCGATTCAGAATCGCTAGTAGCGCGAAATATTCTATCCGTTCTTAGAAATCTCTCATCAAGATAGGGGCTAAATGACCCAAAGGTTCATATTACCTTTACTATACGCTACATAGATAATCAGAATCAAGAATGGGCATTGCTCTGTAGACCAATACAAAGCGAGTACTGCTTTCGACTAGACCAATTTGAAACCTATCGGTTTTACGGAAACTATAGAACGTGCAGCATTTAGGGATATGTGATAAAAGTTAGCATGTTCCTTTCGCGTAGATACTAGTTATTAGTAAACCTTCGAGCGAAATGTATTAGAAATTCCTGCCAACGAATCATTATTCCTTTGCGAACTGTTACTGTTATCCTAGCTGATAAACTTGCTAAGGAAGCAGGTTCGCTAAAAAAAGGAAATAGTTTTAAATTCATCTTGTACTAGATAACAGTCCTAAAGTCTGCACAAGATCGGTCGCCTGCCAGCAGGCGGATAAGGCGCCACTTTACCCTAATAAAAGCAAGAACTTACACCATTTTCTCACATCGGCTAGTAGCTATATGTACCAGGCTAAGTATGCTATCTTTGAGCCAGTATCTTCAGTTATTGCAGTGAAAGGCCTAGAAGAACCTAAAAAAAGCCCGAAATACACTAAATTTAGATGATTTACAGTAGAGCCGAGTCCTTTGTCTTATGATAGTCTATTTTTTTATCCATACATTTTTCAATGCATTGATATTTATCAAAACTGAACTCCAGCTAAATATATAGATGGAAGTCCATATCCAGAAGCTTTGGTACGAAAGCTGCCAACTAACTAAGCGCCTAGTCGAAACATTCCATGAACATTTAGATCAACATCATAACTTGCAGTTCGCTTATGCCTTGTTTAGGTAACACCAGACAGAAGTTACCCTAACTTTTCCTGTTCCAGTGCTAACGCTGGATCCTCCATTAAGCTTAGCCTAAGAATTCGATCGTATCGTGTACCAATGCAGCTACTGGCATATCAATTCAAATACATACATATCTATTGAAGAGCTAAAAGAATTCTAGCTACGACTAGCTAAATAAGCGAAATACACACAATAAAAACAAGTGATTTATAGGTTCGGTCTTCGCAATCTGATGAGGATTGAACATCAAAAAATGGTTGACCTTTGACCCGTATTCATTTCTATAGTTTACAAATGAGCTTGAAGAATGATGTCTTTTGCTCGATGAAGGCACCACACCCGATCAATATTTTTGCTAAAAATTCTAGATTTTTCAAAAATAAGGCTTGTTTTTTTACGCAACATCGAGGACTATAATATCTCTTTGCAAATTGCTTTATTTTTATTTTATTTGAATAAAATTATATTATACATGTATAGAACTTCTATTAAAAAGTCCTTTATAGTTGTTGTATCTTCTTGTTCTTGTTGTATTTTAATTATTTTGTTCCCGATCCTAAATTAAAATAAATATGTTTAAGAGAGAACCAGGAGCACTGAATTCCGAGTACATTCGTAGCAGGACCGACAGTTTTGGGCAGTACGAATGAAACAAACACAGAGATGATGTGGCATTGTGTTTTGGCAAAAAAATTGGCAAAATCGTACTACTCAATTGCGACGTCGTTCAGAACAGGCACCCTGGATCAACAATACCAAATGGTACAACCTGAGCCATTTCGGTACCCAGATGATTACATTGTTTTGTCGCCGTCATCGATGCTTTTTTACATTTCGTCCATTCCTGTTTGTTAGGTGTTCGCTTATATAATTCAACCGATCAATACACAATTTGTGCACCGCCAACCAGTTCCTGAAGTTCAAAATCAATGTTTTTAACACACAGAATTTGAAGCCAGCTACAGATCGTGGTAACCCAATGAATCGTAAAGTAGTATTGTGATGTTTCGATCAAGAACCACCGCGCTGGCCTGCAGTGGTACCTTCGGCGCCAAACTTTTTAAAGCGTTCAGGTACACCCTCTTCCATTTTAGCATGAACTCGAGGAACTTCAAGTTAAAGCCTGATTGACAATTAAGGGGTACTTCTTTCGACTAAACGTAAATACTTCTGTCAATTTAAGTTCTACGCGTGAGACGCTGCATAATCGGCACTTTCGAGTGATTGCCATCAGTCTTGCTAAATAAGGTTACTCTCCTTACAAGCTGGGACTTCCCTGTCTCGTCATGTCAGTACTCCCAGTTGTAGGCGTCTACGTTTGTATATGCGTATCCTTTACTCAAATTTGTCAGTTTTTTTTTTTATTCAAATACATTTGCTAATGTGCTTTTAGTAAACATTATTACCATTCCACTCGGACGTTATCGTGCAAAACATTAAACATTCAAATACATTACTAAGTACATGTTTAATTCGTCCATAACTGTTTCACAATGTCAGATTTCTGCCAACACTCTGCCTGATCAATTTCGAGAAACGGAAACGTTATTTTATGTCTTTCATCATTCAGGCTATTTTCTGCTCCTACGTGCCGCTTATCAATCCAGTACATGGTATTCAGCTTCCGATACAAAATTTGCACGTACAAGCTTCATGACGAATCAAATAGCGGTTACCATAATCATCAGTGCTGATTTTTCCATTTGTCACAATTATTCACAGGTTCTATATCGGTACTGCTACGAACAGAGGAATGGGTGAATGGATCGCACGCCTCATCATGAGCAATCATGTGCAGTTACTGACTCTAATGGTCGATATAAAAAATAGAACAGGCAAAAAGACAGTACGCTTAGCAGTACGGCAAGGCACACGATATGCGGTGTTTTCTCTTCAGTTGAACGCTTGCACAATCTAGGCAATTGAAGCCTTTCTGTCCTCAAGCCTCTGACTTCTGATGAGTGTCCAGCTATTTCGCGATGATCATAACTGTCTTCATCTGCTGATACGTACATCGGAGACATGCGGAACTCCGCACGCGCCGTGCAGTCGCGCCAAAGGGATTACGTTCTGATAGGATATTTGAGGTTCTTCTAGAAAGAACTTTGATTTTCAGATTTTGAGTGTGACGCAGCTTCTACGAAATGAACAGACTAAAATAGAAAACAAAGACGTCACCGAAATAGCTAAATATGTGAGCAATACTCGAGTTCTAGTTGTGTCCACCGATGAGTATAAAGGCAGCATATCGTTTATCCCTTAGGGATTTACTGAAAAAATCACCTTTCCGCAAACTGCAAGACAAAGAATGATTTGAAGAATATTGCTCAGGCGATTAAAGTACAGAAACGTCAGTTTTGCAAGCGTGCTAGGGCCAGTGTTCATTGACTATTTCACGCGACGATTAAAACGTACCAAAAAACGTACGCATTATAAAGTACGCTCTTTCGTTACAGAGTAATTGTTGAATCATCTCAGTTCTGACACTAGCATAGCATCTACTTACCAGATGATTATATAAGTACATACAAAAAACATTTGTTGTACCAGCATTACTATATACAAAATTATTGGAGGAAGGTTTAACTAATACGAAAGCAGCTTGCTTCTGTTTCTATCAAGTGGAGTGAAAGCGTCCCGACAATTTTTTTTATTTAATTTGTTTATTTACCAAATACAATAGATTCTATTTGTGGCAACACAAACGGTTCCTAGAAATAGCGGACGACAGTTGTCCGTCAAACGCACACTTCATACACTGTACTAAAGCACTTTCATTATATTCTAAATAATGTACCGAATAAATAAATGGTTCTAATAACCTAACCGGATAATAAATAATACCTAGATCAAATCTATGCTAGCTTATATATATATATATATATATATATAAATACTTCAAAACGCTATAAACGCTATTAGTTCAGCAGTTGTTTTTCACATAGCTCACCGTTATAGATGTGCTCCTCTTTTATAAACAACAAGTTTGCTAAGAAATTTTCTAAAAAATAAGCTAGGCTTGTTTATAATAAATGTTATGTTTTTGTCAGACACACACACACACACACACACACACACACACGCCCGCACACACATCATTTGTCGCTGTTGAGTAGCTAGCGTATAAGGGTCCCGTATATGAATGATATGCTTTACCGATAACTGCTACGTTTGGAACACTCTAGAGCTCAATGATTTATATAGCAAGCTAATCATAATATATGATGGAGACAGTCTTTCGAAAAAAATTTCAATTTGATTCATGCTAATAGACTGTGTTTGAAACACTGGTATATAATTAAGAAAAGAATCGTCTACGGGTTAACCAATGAGAAAAACCTTCTTATCTCCAAGCGAATCATGATGTGGCGCCTTATTCTTGTGTTGCTTCATAAGCATTTCCAGTATCGAGAGCCCAGAATCCCAACCCCAGTGTTCACCACCCCATGGGAGGGAATCCTGTGGGGGATCTGAGTGATCGAACATCCATTTACCTTCAACCATTCGGTGACAATACAGTCCCCTTTTGAAAGAATGTTTCTCCCAAGGATCGTCGCAGATTACCCTGCAGCATGCGTAGTGTGGGTCTTTGCAGTGTTTGTGAGTCGAACAGGGTCTACCGCAATGTTTATGGTAGACTCGAACAACAGGGCATACATTATCTGCAGCTCCTCCCTTTAGATGGGCCTTGACCAGGTCATGTAGTTTAGGCTGAAGACTGTCGTGCAGTTTGTGAATGTGCTTTATGCTTTCATGGACTATACTAGTGTGACTGGACCATCCTTTTTTGATGCCCTTGATAAAATACAACAACGGAAACGTTCTATCATTCGTCTTAGTTAGATCATCATCAGCTGTTGCATTAATTGTCACAGATGAAGCTTCGTCGGGCATCGCTTCGTTTGCAAAGGCGTCTGAAGCATTCGCACGCAGCCGTTCGCTTTCACCTTCCGGAAGTACAATAACATCATCTCCACTTACTACAGTTACAGGTAGAAGAACACTTGGTGGATCCACCAATGCGATTTCTTCCGCTGAAAGTTCTTCTCCTACCGACAATTGTTGCTTCGGTTCCGCATGAGATTTCGATGTTTTCTGCTGCCGTCTATTTTTCGCTAGGGGTATATGTAACCCTTTACCCGGATCTCCACTGGCTGTGACATGATCAATTACCTCGTTCACTGCTACGAGCTGTTGTTTACCTGAAATGGTGCAAAAGCCATTGCGCGTCAGTGCACGATAAAGCCGTAGCTAGTTAAATGCAAAAAAAAATAATATCTGATCATTATATTTTTACTGTTTACTAGTTATTCCTTTCAAAGGTCTTTTAGACTGAAAACAGTCGCGAAATCATTTCGGACATGCAAGAGGCGCTAATGAAAGTATTTTTATACCTCTGCTGGTAGACTTGTAAGAGTGTTCCGAAGAACACTACGGATCAGACTAAGAGGAATGAAAGCACGACAGGAGGATTAAAATGATTTTCGTAAAATCAAGGAAAACGTGCACCTCTCGTGCGGACCAAGCTCTTAATAAAACTTAATAAGATTACCTACTGGCTAGTTCTCTGTTAGTTCACCTGTCGTCCAAGCTAAAGCAAAGCATATATAGAACTGTTCCGCAAGTGCAATTTCAGTGAATATACTTCACAGACATATACACACACAAAAATATACTATTTTTGGCGAGGATACCAAACGAAGTCTATAAAAAACTAGGTATGTTATGCTCACAGTTTGAGGTAGCAATGCTTGCGGACATATGTCCCATTGAGAACTACTATCGGCGATGAAAGACAAAGATGGAGCTTAGAAGCGGCCCCTAAAGCAGCTGAGAGCTGTTCTTCCGACCTAAATAAAAAGGTAGGCCTCAGGATGAATGAAAAATAACTAAACAGCAAGTTTTTTTCGCACTTTTCTTCAAGTAGGGAAAGTTTTTATGAATATTATACTATAGCGTTCCTGTCAGGCATCGACCGAAAGATAAGTTATCTACCATTTCCTTGCACTAGCTGTTTATTGGTTTCTTTCCTTGAATCGCTCAAAAGTCCGCCATATAAGAGAAATATTATATACACACACACGCAAAAACACAGACATAGACACACTTTGTGTATCTACCCGTGGCTCCTCCACAACTTAATCGGCTGCCTTCTCGTGTCTTTCGCCTCGAGCATTTGCATTTCCAGTTCATAGCCGTATGTCGTGAGATTTAGATAAAGACGATCGCTATGTGAAGCTATTTAGGACGGACAGGCAGAAAACCTACCGAATACAACAGATATGTTCCTTGGTTAGCGGTGCGTTAAGCATGTTTCTTACCCCAGTTACGGCTACAGTATAGTTTGCTGATATGCGCTCAAATACTGTTTTTCTACCCCTTGAATCGTTGTTAACCTTCTCTAGGAAAGTGGATGACTTTTCACTTGTATCAAACACCGCGTAAAGACCTTCTCTCTGTATGGCGTAACATGCGAAGGCAGCTCCGAAGATAGCGTTCTCTGGTCTATGGCGCTAATTAATTTTTGGAGTCAATTATAATTGGTCTGTACATGCATCTCGTATAGGTAAAGGTAAATAATAATATGTAGCGTTAGGAAAAGCTGTGGCACACTAAGCTGAGACACACTTTTACCTTCAACGAGTGAAGGAAATAGGCTCATAGCAATGGAAGACCAAACAGATGTTTTCGGCATGCCAACACGTAATAGCATTATTTGCCACTGTTGTGTGCTAGCGGTGTCTCGTCACACAGGCCCCAAACGGATCCGCCCACGTATTCGATTGATTCTTCCTTCTCCTAGTACAGTTAGTGATATTCTCGCCAGAGTTGCTTCTGTCCACGCTATCTAGCCATTGTTGTTTGTTTCAGAGTTGTTAGTTGTCTCTGATCTGAGGTGAGGTGAATTAGATAAGATTAGCTTTTATCATTATGTGGTTGTCCACTTTGCCTCTTCATGCTGGATTCTGGTGCAGTTGTATTTGTTGTAATAGTAGCTACTGGTTGGTCTGCCGGATAGCCATTACCTGTGCTTGTGGCTGCTGCTGAAGCCAAGCGTGCTTTGTATAGGGCTGATGCTTTATAAATAGAACGTCATCCGCATGTCAATGACGGTAAAATACGACTGAATGAGGAGCAAGCTGATGCTGATTGGGGTCAGTGCTTGTGGTGATGGTGATGATACAGTACAAACGCAATGAGGAAGGCAGTTTAATGGTTCTACCCGGCGTACGAATATATGGCCACCCCAAGCTGGATGCCTAGGCGGAGCCAATCTGAAAAACCAAACAAATGTTGCGAAAGACATCGAAACACATAGAAAGAGGAGAGACGGGGTCGGAGTCATAGTAAACATAGGAAGCAAACGTCGAGGGTAAAGAGAGCAAGAGGCAGGGACAGAGAGAGAAAGCATTTGGTGAGATATACAACTTCTATATTCAATTAATTGTCTACTTTACTATTAAATTCCCCCTGTACATACGTTATAGTAGCGGTAGGGACGAGCATGTCTTCGACTTCGATCTCCTAAACAAATCTTACCATATAAAATGTTTGTTTGGCGTAAGCTTTTTATAATAGCATCAAGGCATAGTACGAAATTGACGGCAAAGCACCGTTATCGTCAAATTATTGCAACCGATAACGAGAGGTACTTCGTTCACTAAAGCAATTCAGATGAAGCTCAGACCGCTATAAACGAGATTTAGAATAATGTTCGCCTTAATAGCGACATCCTGCAACGGGTTCATTATGGCGATACTGATCACAGAATTACCCCTGGGGTTACGAAGCTAAATGACAAGACAGCGCGCCTTCCGACGGACTAAACTATTTTAGAGTTAGATTAGCATTGTTTTTCTCTCCATTATCGTATCTGTTACTATGTGCAGCTCGTTTGGTAACGCGGAAGTGCAGAAATTTTTACTTGAGCAATTTGCAAGATGACAAGAATGGATTTGGCATGTAGGGACTAAAAAAATGGCTGAACAGAAAGTATTTTTATTGTATTGTAATATTTTATAGTAATAGAATTTTATTTGTAGCTTGTGAAAACAGCTTAAAAAACGTCCAGTTAAAAAAAGAAACTAGAGCTTATTCATTGATAAGGTTCGCTAAAGGTCTACAAACTACGTCGATAGCTTAAAAGGAATAATAAGTCGAGGCATAAATATTTCGTCCTTTTTTTCAGCTTAGCAGTGTTATGAATAGCTTGCAGCAGGAGAGAAAGTGATCACAAATGAGTTAAAGATCCTGTATCCAGTTTATCTTGCATATATTGCTATGACCACTGTTATTTGCCTTTCTTTCGAACACTTTTTTATCGTTGAGTACACTATAACTAAAACTATTCAGAATAATGTGTTATAGCACAGGCTTTCTGCAGGAATATAAACTGTAAGATTTCCCAAGCTTCTGGTCAAACCTTTTAAGTAATTGTCGAAATACTACTTATGCATAAGAGATCGACAACCGTAAACAAACGCCCGGCTTTTATTACAGTTGGACTACATTTGCTTACAACATGTATACATGGGTGGACCAATTATACATGACGTGCGTGTGTGTGTGTGCGTGTCTCTCCTTTAACTCACCGGTAACACCGGGTCGCTTGTCGCTTTTGATACAGAGACGCGCAACTCGAGCGATCGTGGTCACGCTGCTAGGGACACAGCACGACCGCCTCCAACGGTTGGGGCCTGGAAAAGCGTACATTCCACAACAGTCGCTTCCAGGGCACTCTGAGGAGTTTTCACACTGATGCAGGTAAGAAAATGGGAAGGGACACATCTTGTAATAGCCTAAACCGAGATCAAATTGACTTATAGCTGTCGTTACTTGGTTCGCCACTGAAGTATTGCTAGCAGCGCCCTGCCTTTCCGATGTGGGCACGTCAGCTGACTTCGACCTAACTTCAGAGGTCGTCGTGGTAACGTTCTTGATGTGCGCATTGCTGTCCCCGTGTAATTTCTTCGTCCGCGCCTTGACCACCTGATCGTGTGCGTAAACCGTTTTCGTGGCCGCGCTAAGGAACTCAGCGTCCCCACTCGTCCCGCTAAAAACTTGGGCACGGGCAATATCCCCAGTCGTAACTATCACCTCTAGTAGTAGTAGAGCTGCCAACAGTGGTAGAATCCTTTCACTTTGACGCCGTCTCATATTGGAATTACGCGCAGTTCTACGCGACAATAGCGGCAACGGTTCCAAGAACGTTAACAGCTCCAACTGTGTCTTTTCGACGACGACAAATAATACTCCGTTGCGTTGACTGTTTTCGTCAGAGAAAAATGCTTCTGCCTTTTCTTTTCGATGAACCGTAAATGCCGGAAAATTTCGAGGGTTAGATCAGTCGCAGTGTGACGCGTCCAAACGTTATCCGATACGTCGACACCCGATGATAGCATCGGACGGACACTACACTAGCTGCGACGTCGAGGAAACAAGACAGCACCGCTTTGGGACACAGCCACGTTGGGAATATAGCGGTGAACCAGCCAAAGGCACACTCGCACGGTACCCGACGATGCCAGAAGCGGCGTCGACGGCAGTAAAGAGAGGAGGAGAGGTTGCGTCGTAACAATGGACAAAGCAGAGCCGAACGCCGGGGGACATTCAATTCGATCTTCGTCTCTTTCCGATCTACAGCGACTATAAATACTGTAACCATTGGGCCCGGCTCAGATGCTTTCGAGGGTTGGCGAGGACTACGGTAACGTCCATAGTACCGAATCTCGTCAGAAAAGGGTCCGTTGTGAAAAGACCGCAGTGGGTCGTCGTCGCAGTCTGACCTAGAGTCGATCTGACTAGGACAGCGAATATCGGCGTGTTGTTTCCATCAGATCTATTAAGTTCATTAATAGTATATACACATATACTATTAATGAAATATATATATATATAGTATATAGGTATACAGTGACGATTTCATAAAGCTAGCTCGCACCGCAGCAAATACGGTCCGAATGCCGTATTTCACTCAGTTTCACTCAGGGACTTTTTGGAAGCAGTGGTGATTGGTTATTGTCCCCGCAATGACAATCATTTTGCTAAACACATCACCGTCGTTGTACAGGCGTGATGATCCGTTATTGCGCCGAACGCGACGTCTTAATAGTTTTTCCTAGTATTTTGTAGTCTAGTATGTTGTGTGATAAGTTTTGTCAAACGGCCAGAATTCACTTGTCGTAGAAGTTCGCCATGCCTACTAGAGATCATTAGCCCATTTTCCTCTGCGCGACGGCCTCATCAAATATCTGCAGCAATGGACAAACAGATCACTGTTATTGATATGGATAGCCGAAGAATAAGATGGTTATGCTATTTCGTCGCGAAACGCAATTTCCACGATAGACAAATACTAGGACACATTTAGGCACTATATATAGGTGCCTCGGATTAGATGCGTCATATTTCACAATTTTAGCTATCGTCGTCAGATCGCATCATCGTCACCTAATCTGTTAATTATTCTAGCACAATACAGTTATGACCATTTAAATAAGACAAAATAGATGTCATTCGATTGAGTTACAGACGTTTACTTAGCAAGTTTAACTTTGCATGCCCCCTCCTATAGATAGCATTTCACGAGAAGCACATCTCGAACTATATTTGATTGGACTTACTTAAGTGCATTAGCAGCGAGAGCATCGTGCTACGTTTACGTTACGTTTAAAGTAAGTCAGTTTAAAAGAATCCGTACCGAACTTTTGTTGGGCAGTCACAATGGCCTCTACTGTGAGAAATCTTGCACGGAGAACCGAAGGCTCAGTCGAGCTCTTCTGAAAGGCAACTTGGGGAGACTACAAGTGATTCTGTTCTCAACAGAAAAAAGTGGACACATTGATCTTCAAATCGGACAAACGTGTTATTTACAATGACCAAAGTGGCTCTCTTGCTCGGGCTGTTTGTAGCGCGATAAGCAAACAGGGCGTGTTTACGAAACACTCGTAAAATCTGGCGAATAGACGTTGTTTAGGCCTCCTTTATTACCTTAACGTATACAAGAGATCTCTGAAGGTGTCCCAGAATGCTCAAGGAATGCACAGTTTTGCTGTCCATTTGTTTATTAATACGTGCTTCGACCGGATGACAAATCGTCCAAACTACAAGAAGATTTGATTATTAGTTAATAGTGTACATTAGTATCGGGATGTACTGAACAACGAAAAAGGCATTTTCATACGGTTCCTAATATCATCACAAATAGCATCGCTGTCAATGATTCGACTAACACGCGGACGGTCTTCAGCGGTTTCTGCCAGGACGGTCTTGCAGCAGTACTTTAATATGGTTGCAATAGTTAAACAGCAATTTAATTAGAAATAATGGAAGGATCTTTATCCTGCACCTTACTACTATGTACTTCAATTTGATGAAGCAGCTCAGTCGTTCGTTAACCGACAAATGGTAGCAACCTGGCTCTTTTCGATAACAATTAGTATTCGGGGTGAAATGACGAATTTTAAAAATCGATTAAAATGTTGTTGGGATTGATAAAGCTTGCTGGGGAAATGAATCAAGGTGTTATAGAGTCACAGCCCTATATTTTCACCAGATAACAGTGACGTGGGTGAAACATTCTTCATAATGCGATTGTAGGCTTTTTGTGCGCTGTGGAAATTGAGTTACACTCTACTGGGTCGCTTAGCGGAGGGAACTAAATACAACAACATAGCAACGCCATTAGACTAGAGATGCGAATTAGTCTTCCGGACTTCTTTTCCTCTTGGCTTTCTTGTTGCATTCAAACGACATAAGAGTGACCTCTTTGCAGGATTCCATGGCACGAATCTAAAGACTCGGATCCGGCATTTTGCATACCAGGCTAATATTACTAACTATTAATAACTGTTAACTAACTATTAATAACTGTGAACTTTAAGAAATAGATTCCGCATTTATAGATTTAAATAGCACATTTGTGTATCACTTCTTGCTTTTTCGATTTAGAAAGCAGGCCCACGCTTTTATATTCTAACCGCGCTCGCTCTAGCGGCTCTTTATTTTTTGCCTATCGCTACCAGTCATGCTAGATTAACGCAAACTTTGCGTGCCCCTAGATACTAGGCCCTTCGCGTTTCAGTGTGCCAACGGCTGGGTGGAATCGCTGCGTAATCTTTAAATTGTCCTAATGCTCTAGCACCATCGTAGTACGTTTCCGGCACCCTCCCGCCCTGAAGTGTTCAATCTCCAGATACGATATTTCGAATCGCATATCGCCGCTTGTTTACTTGTTTTACTAAAATTACTTGTTCGTAAAATCTCCTTCAACACTGGTACACAGCGGTCGAGCCACATTGACCATGATTACTTATTTAGCTATCAGTACCAACGGTTATTTCGATAATGGCCTGCTTCTCACGGCGACGGTACCGTTCTCATTTTCAAACAGGAACCGGTCGGTTGACTTTCCGGTTTCATGCTCCTCATTTCATAATCCGACGACTTTGCCAAGCTTGGTCAATCGTAAACTTTGTCGCTGCCATAAAATGGTGAGAGTCTAGGTTCTTGGTAAGGAACCCCCAACATACCGACTGGCGGGTAGGCCTCCTACACATTCTATTTTTCGAGTTTTGCGTTTGATGTCCCTGACAGGCATTTCATCAGACGGTGATTCCCCGCACGAAACGAAGTATGCCTATAGCCGACTTCGAACCTAGACCGTAACGTGTCTTAAGATTAGCACGTAGGTGCGTTACCCACTTAGCTATCACGGGGACGGACTCTATACCCCAGCTTCACCCAGACTTCCTTATAAAAATTAAAATCGAACAAATATAACGATTTATTAATATTACTATAAATTATCCAATCTTTTTTTCGTTTGTAAAGCTATGTTGGTGTTGATTCATGATGCTTTCTATAGAAAGGTAGTTACATTGTTATGGAAAGCCAAGAGCTTTTCTAATAGTATTCTTGCGTTTAAAAGATGCGATGTCGGCGTCTTTTTTTATTAAACAGTTTCTTTATGCGTTACTGGCCTGTAGTTGTTTTTGTGATTGATCTATTTGTTATGCACGGGAAGACTACTGAAAAGCAAAGATGCCTTGACAAAATGCCTTTCTTGTTTGTACGACGGTAAAAACTACACGGAATGGCTCAGCAATATTGATTGTGACTTTTTTAGTAACAAGTTTAATCAGGGCGTGAAATTGAACTAATATAGCAGCTGTTTAAATTTCCTGCTGATTATCTGTTTATCTAATATACCAAAATAAGGACTGGTTGTTATTTTACGTTAAATATAAACTATAGGAAGCTACTGGTTTTTGAGATAGACGAACAGACGGGAACAGTTTCCTAAATGTGTGTGCTTTTCGGATATCAGTCTGATATCAGTCTCTCGTTATGTTAGAGGTTTTAGTCACATATTACGTGTATATCACTCCGAGCTGGCTTGTTGATAATATCTGGGTTGGTAATTAAGACTACGCAATAGACATCCTCTGCTGCAGTCGTTTCTACTTGGTCATCAAATGAAACCCTTCGAAACCAAAGACTTTGTCGCAAATTTCCAAGTGGTGACCACTTATGGAGCCTACATAAGTGGCCCATACTGACAAGCAAATCACTACATATAATTTAAAGTGATCCGCATAACGTTTGTCAAAAAAGTTGATCCCATATTATTTAAGCAAGATCAGCAACGTCTTTGTTGAACAACGTCTAGTGAATAAGTGTTAATTTCTAATTTAGTGTCCATTGGTTAATGTCAAATTTTCTATGTGCCCTGCGGGCATTACGTCCAAATATCAATAAAAAAAACGCGCTTAAAGTTTTGGCTTTGCGAATGTTTGCAGACTGCACAATTTACACTAACTTCTATATCTTGATACATACATAAGTTTCTTCGGCTACGAAGATGACGTAGCAAAAAAGATCTATAGTTGCGAAATGATCTTAATTTATTACTAAGTGATATAAGATTCATAGCTTTATCGACATGCTCTGCTCATTCCGCTATATTTCAATATGCAACAATTGAAGCAAATTACGTCACATGATTTAATGCATGAGTAATCCGATGTGGTATCTGGCCTAGGCTTAATGAATTCGCGTTCACGTATCTGTTTGCTAAGTCTTCCACCTCCGTACAGTCATAGAACCTTTAATCTCTGGTTTTGTAGACATTGTGTTGCGAGTTTCATACATACGACTTATATGATATGCTCTACCTGTGGTATATTCTTAAACATATATATATATATATATATATTATCTATCTATGGTAAACTCACCGTGTCGATAATAATAAGCGACTTCGACCTATACTATATGCGTACTTGTTTCAAACTGTTTTCATTCTTCTTACTCTCCGCATACCATCCTATGCAGTTACATATATACAATACCAGACGGTACATTGTTTGTAAAAAGTAGTACATCATCGCAGTGGACAGCTTGGGGTCTAAACTATAAACAACTGTCTGCGATGGAACGCTAATTTCGCAAGTGTTGACAGAACGCGATCGTTTTCGAATAGGACCCGTAGCAATACGTATATCACTATTCAGCTACGCTTGAAAGCTCCGTCCATAATTAAATAGATCCGTAATGGACGCCTTTAAGGATGTCTCAAAATCATGTCAAAAAATGTCATGATATCTCAACGGAAGTCTTACCACCTAGCGCCAAGAGAGGCCAACAAACGCCCGAGCCATGGCTATAGCTGCCTGATAAACTGACGAGGAGGAAACCACTGTGTTCTATTTTATCTTCAGGGCATTGAATCAAGTCCTGAGGAGGAGTATATGCTTTCGCCGAGTTTTAAACGCATCAGTTTGGTAGTTTTTGTAATGATGAATGTTTTAATTAACATAGAGACATAACCCGGGTTGCCTAGCCAAGGGCATGTGCACTTTGGTTTTGGCGTTAGCGTACAGCCTGAACTTATCGGCAGTCATTATCGATTACTAGTGAATCTATTCTCCAATGGCAGTGGCTCTTTTTGCTAAACCTGGTACGCCTGATTTATTAAAGACAGTGACGTTACCTCTACGCTATATAAAAGATCATTCTGTTTCTATCGAGCTCTTTGTATATTAGCCGATATTATTTCGCTGTATGTGACAATGTATGAAAATGCGTATATACAGCATCAAACTGTCGAGCGAGCCTCAGCTTTATAGCATATGACGCAATTTGGTCATCAAAAATTTTGGGAGAAAAGCCTAGAAACCGCTGGTTGGTCAATTCTGTAGCAAGCTGCGATCGGCGCGTACACGATACGCGCGTAATTCTGCAATTCAGCTGTGTGTTTCTTTTGGCACTTCTCCAGCATTTTTACATCGTACGAAAAAAGACATGCTTCGAAACGCTTTTCCGGGAATTCGCTGCTAACACATCAGAGCAAGGTGGCATCTGTTGCTCTATCTATCTACAGTATATACCACTTAATGTTCGTTTATGTTGCGTATTCAGCATTTCAAGCCTTCAATCTGTTTCCTGCTAAGTCGATCAATCCAAATTGAGGGTGGCTGATAACGCTTTACAAGGTCTACAAGGCCTATATTCACCTATTTGATTATAACATTTTAAACTAGTTTAACGGAGTGGCTGTTGTTGGCAAGCTGATGTGTTCCTTTAATCAATTGAGATGATGTATCGAATTCGGAAGGGCAAGTGATAATTTTTCTATATTTTCTTTCTGAAAATAGACTAGCTTGTTGTATGATCTTTATTTTTATTGTTTTTCTCGATACGAACATGAGCATTCTGTAGTAAAGGGATAAGCGAGAGAGTGCATTTAAAAAATTACCTAATCACACACTAACCATAATGCTAGCCTGCAGTAAAAATACTCTTTATAACTCTAATGCTTATAACATCTGATATAATAATGTCATCGTTACCTGGGTTGAAGAAGAATCTAACTAGACAAGGAACAGAACAAATGCTACTCTACACGTGGAGTATGTCATTTTTCTTTTTTACTTTATTCGGCGAATAGTTGTTTACGAAACATTAATGAAAACTTACGTTTATTTACAACAGGGTAAATTACACACGGCAATTTGAGTCCTTTTTTTAGTTCTACCTTGGAATATACTAAAATATCAAAAAAGATTAATGGTCTAGCGTTACGATTTTGCGTAACCTGTTTTTTCGTTTCATTATCATATATATATTATACAGATTTGGCTTCTATATATATTAGCGGCTTTTTTTTTTATTAATTTCAAGTAAGAATCCAATATGTTTGTACATTTTTAGGGCCTTCAACAATCAACGATCATGTTCAGAACAGAGGTCTCTAAAGCTAACACCTTTTACTGTACTTCGCTGGTTCTGTTTTCAAAAAAGTGCTTCTAACGTAATTTTCCAACATCGTGTTACCTACTCAGAATATAACAATCGTCATGCTCCAGAGTTAGATACATAAAACGACCGTTATTGTGTTGGCTTAGAACTTCTTCTTTAATAACTTCTCAAGTCGCATAATGCGTCCGCTCTCCTGATTCAATACTGAGAACAAACCAGTGCTCTTTTCCTCGGTTGACGCTGAGACAATTGCCTTGAAAGAATACCGTACAAATCACAAATAAACTTTCATAAGGCGGATGACGCATTAATAACGCAATAATAATGACTATACGGGAAAAAACCTGCCTGTGCTACAAGGAAACATAATAAGGCTTGCATCAGGCCATCAAAAAACCTTGACGAAGATAGCTGATGGTGATTATCAACTTCTCGTGTGAAAACTGGCACCTAATAATAAAAATTAAGTTTTACCTGCGGGCCGGCTTTTCTTTTGAAACGTTCGATCAATGCTGGTTGGTCATGCCTACGAACATTTTTCATCTCAAGTATCCGCTGAAATTCAGTTAGATCTGTTTCAGGCAAAAGTCGAAGTAGATTTGTTACGAATACGTCTGCTGGCTCTAACGGCGTTAATACAACCTTTAGAATAAGCTCTGCCTTGCTTATGCCTTTCATAACCACCTGAAACAAGCAAGCAGCATATACATTACTGAATTTGGCAAGCCTTACGCCTATTGAAACACAAATCTACATTATACACAGGCAATGCTACCACACGTAAGTTACTGAAGAATATTAATGAACAAACATTACGCGCTAGAAGTAACACAACCAGTACCAGTGTCGTACCAGTTTGAACTACTTAGATCTACTTATTGCCAATTAAACTCATACTTAAACAACTTCAACAACAAACTCAGATGAGTTTATATATATATACTCATATACGTAGCTTAATGTCACCTACGGCTTTTAGGATTTTTTTAAATTCCTTCCTGATTTCTGCTGGCCTAACTGACAGCTGGTTGGCTACTACCTTGGTATAGCTAGCGGGCGCTCGTCGAAGATTCGCTGTCTGTGCGCCGAGCGTGGGAAGCTCAAGTAATAGTGTTCGAAGAGCGTGCGTATCCAGCAATAACTGTTCCGCGCCCGCAGATGATATAGGTCTACACCGTAATAAATGATGAATATACTTCGACATAAAACCCGACGAAAACTTGACACAGAACTGCGTTAGGTACTTGCGTGAATTAGCAAGAGCATCGCGAAGAAGCGTCATATTGTGCGACAAATGCGAGCCGATGGCATTCACAAATGGACTTTGTTCCCCTACAGCCTCCAGCGACGCCCAGTTTGTCTGAAAATTTGCGTGTTTTATATTAGTGTATATATAATAGATGAACCAACGGTGAGTACCATATATTACTGCTAAGTACAATTACTTTTTTGACTAAGGTGTTACTGGGCCAGCCACAAACCTTCAGCATTGAGGCAAATGCAGGTTCACAGGTTGCTTCTAAGTCTGCAACGAGTAATTGTATACATTGGTTTACCACCACGTGAAAAAGATCCAATTCTGACGAGAAGGTTATCTCATCCTGCAGCGTTGGTGAAGACAACTTCTCCTGAAAATCACAGATCACTTAATGGCACCGCATATCTATCAAATTTGACACTGATAACATTGAATACTTCACGATACGGAACACCACTATTCATCTTAAACGAACATATTCTAGTACAAATAGTTCATTATTTGTCTTTCCTGTGCCATTCTCTAAATAAACAGTGCATACCAAACACTTTTTACCTAACAATGATTGTTATAGGTCCACCGTGTATATGATATTACAGCATGTACCTTGAGCTTGGTTTCAAGTTGTAAAACAGTTTCTAGGCAGTACTCGGCGGTTGTGAGGACCCCGCACACCTGGCAAATCTCACCAGGAGTGTACCTTGGTCCTCCTGATCCGCTTCCAGCTGTGACGCCGCCCACGACTCCCCCAAGGCCAGCCAAACCAGTTCCCGCAGTCATTCCCGACTGCTCAACCAAAGTCTGCAAATTGGCCAGCAATGGTCGCGCACTGCCCGCACTGCTCCCTCCTTTTGGTAAGGCAGCTTGTAGAACCCGACTGGCGTATTCCTGAAAATTAAAGAAAAATATAAAAATCATACGGCTGTAGTACAGAATTTACAAAGTATAAATCTCAGGAACTTGCAACAGATATGAGACATTTTCTAAACGTAGATATCGTCACGTCCATACAACAATATTTCTGAAGATTTTGCAATACATATACCTTGAATACCTCGAGTATGAGGAATTGCATCGTATTGCACGTATGCCTTACGTGACTACAAGCCTGAGCTCCAATTAGAATTCTTCAAGATAGCTCTTCACTTACACGGAGGTATTTTTTGAATGTGCCGCTTAGCAGAACCAGTCCTTGACCACGGAATGCCGGCATTTGTATGCATTGTACGAGGCACTTTTTGAAGAATATAAACAGATCTGCGCACGACGGAAGAGTGGCTGCCGGCTGTCCATCCACCTAAAAGAGCAGCTCCGTAAAAAAGACTGTATTTCGCAATCAATGCATTAAATACTTGCAGCGTTTCTATAAAAAGAATACACTACAACTGTCGGAGCTTGTTGTTACTACGCATTGTCTCATCTTCTAACCTTTCGAACAAACCAGAAATATTCAACATAGGACAGTAAAAAGTTGATTATCGCTGTTTTTTTTTCGACATATCTACCTTGGGCGGTAACATTTGCTCAGCTTCCTTGGCAAACTTATCTATCATTTGAGCCAGCTCACGAGCTCTTGTTTCCATGTAGACGTGTACATGCGGTTCGAAGCAGGAAGAGATCAGGCCCTGTAAAATCCAATCATTCGCGGGGTATTATGTAATAGACATTTCGCATAACACTTCTTATCGACAATACGACCGTCGCCGTATCTTCACTTGTGGTGCGGGTACGTGCTACACATTTATTAAACGGATTACAATATTCAGTGTACATTTCTTGCATGCAGACAAAATTTCTTGCCACAGTGAGTTTTCGATGTGGCTTGGCTCGTATCCTAAGCTAATAACTTTCGCCGCAAACTCAGTTAATACCCGCATCTGACGAATAAAGCTTCAGCTGTACTCACATTGAAAGGATTTCTATCAATGAATGACGCTCTATTATTAAGTGGACTAGTGCCTGCTTCCGAGTCGCCACCTGCTGTTGCGAGCCCTGGAATAGTCCCCTCATTCGAAGTGTCTTCAGAACCCAATCGTTTGTCTTCGCCTGTAGTACGAAGGGTTACCCCTGTAAATCGCTTTGACAGTAACACTTCGAAAGCGGACGTCTTTGTCATAGCATTTACTAATAGCCCGGCATCCAGCTGTGACGATCTGTAACGGACGTAGTGAGATATATTACAAGGGACCTTCATTAAAACCGGAATCTATTTTTCTCGTTTTTTTTTCTGCTTTTCAGCTTGTCGCTTGATACTATTGAACAGTATGCGGTATTGCTTTGCGTCGGGCGCACTAAACTGTAGAGCGTCCTTAGCGTCCGACAGGCTATAATAAAAGATCACTTGACAAAACTCGCAATGGACAGTACGAAGCACATAAGGTAAATATTATATAACCTGATGTCCTTCTACCTGTTTTATGTGAGGTTGTTAATAAAGAGAACATGTTTACGAGTGCCATGTACCTCAGTGCCATAAGATCAGCGAGCTGCTTTCGTGTAAGTTCACAGGCATGCACAGCGATCCGCTCAGTCATTTCCCATTCCGGTGGAAACACTCCGCCCAACGTTTCCTCAAAATAAACCAGGTGCTTCTTGATCCACTGGTATCTAAATAAAATTAGAAATGCCAAAATATTACCTGGGTTAATTACGACATATACTAGGCATCCATATTATAATTTGCCTTTATATAAATGATAGGGTCGTCGACTTTATTTGCTATAGGTGCACACATTAAGAGAGCAAGTTTTCAACCGATTTTTCATAGCTTAACTTAATTATCTTCGGCCTAACATGGTCATGCAATTTTCTTTATGCTACCTTTAAGTAGTCTGGGGTTGGTCTTAGGTGAAAAGTGAGTTGCTATTTAATTTTGCTCTTCTCTGTGGAACTTTTTGTATCTATACCTTTTGTCGATGTGATCTAGCCAAGCCATTTCTTGGTCGAGATGAAAGAGCACACGATACTCCGACAACTGTTCGCTAACTAACCACTCGATAAGTTTGCGTCGAACCTGATCGAACCGGAAAAAGGAGTCATTTGGTACAGTATATCACTTTAATACGTACCTTAACCTGCCTTACGTACCTAATAAACCTTAACTAACGAGATCAGAACTGTGGTCTAATAAGCATGCGCTGCTAATTACAATGCACCTTTTGTAGAGAAAAAATATTGAAGCGTTTGCGTCGACTTCACCTGCGGTTCAAGATGATTAAGTACGGCACACGCATGAGCTACATTGGTGCGCGGAGTTCGGCCTGTTGCCAGGCCTTCGCGAAGTTCAGCGGAAATCTGGTCGGCTAAAACTCGACGAATTGAGGCAACATCTCCCGCCAGTGCGGCAATCTGTGGTATTGCCATAAGAGGCCTAGGGGAACAACGTTTAAATAAGCAGACATAATATAAAACGGTTAAAAACGAATGATTTTTTCGCTAGCACCTCTTGGTTGCCTTTTTCTCAAATCATTTATTATGTGACGGAATGACGAACTAGCCAATTTCCAATTTGTGATATACTTCGGGTCATTTCAAAAATTGTTACATGCCAGTCCTTTAGATAATGACATAGTTTTAAAGGAGAAACATCCAATGACACCATAAATTACTGACTGACCACATTACTGTTAAATATCGAAATTTGTGTGAAAATGACATGAAGTACATAGCTTTGAAAATCAATAAGTGATTGTGTTAAAAGCACTTCTTTCATTAAGAAAACGCGATAATTACAAGACTGTCGTTTCTTTTCCACCGCTCATTGCAAGCAAGTAAATAGCAATCAAAGTATAAGTAATGGAATTAATTCGGTTTTTCAGCTTTAAAATAGTCTCTTTCGAAAGCTTCGGTTATGATTGAAAGCCTATTACTGTCTGCATTAAACTACAGTTTCTTATTTTCATGTGATACTGTCCAATTACCAATGGACCGAAACTCTGAGAGAAGTATTCTAGCAGAGTTTTCTGCTCTAAAATCGAATACCTCGCCGAGATTGGAAATTAAGCACTTTTTGCTGGTGCCTTCTGGTGTGATAGCGAACCGAAAAATAGGCGAACAGCAATCATTGATTGCAACATCTGTTTAATAAAAAAATATAGCGTATACTTCCGAAGCTATCCGCTGTCTGCAGCAGGTAAAGCTGGGCACAACAGAAAAACAGATCTTCAGAAGAGGAAAGAGCCATTTCGTACAACATCTGCCGTGCGCATCCCCACAATAATGAATGAATATTTAAAATATAGGCACATCGCGCCGCTCAATCGAATGAGCTAAAATTTTGTATCAGAATACGCACAGCAGCGTCCGAGCATACTAATTCTGTCTGCCTCAAAGCTTGTATCCCACTTTAAAAGAAAAATAAACCTAAAAGAAAAATAGGTAGTATCGCAGATATCTCTGAAAACGTACGTCGTCGTCCGATTCAGTGTCATAATTCGATCACTGCTTCGGTCACCTAATATATTATTAGGTAACTACACCAGACAGCAACATCTTCTTGCATTACGATACAGTCGAGCAAAACGTTATTTAGAATTGAATAAGATGAGATTAGATCTTGGCTTAACGTAAACACCACTGGATCTGCGACCACAGTGGAAAGTTTTCTTCTTACTTCCTTTTCGAAGGTAAACATTCAAACGTGGTAAATTTAAATTGTATTTTGCTTAGTTACTCGTTTTCTTAAGGGAAACCGCTCTTTTTTTTTTTTTTATAAAATCACTGACTTCTTAACTGATGTCTCTATGCCATACTTCTATGAACTTCGGCAGTTGCCTGAAAGATGACACATGGGCGCTCCACGCCTTTATTGGAAATATCGTTTTCAATGTCTATCACTGTTTAAACCATTAGTACCTCGGATTGTAATATTCTAAACACACGAACTAAAATTTGATTTTTAAGGAACCACGCTTGACTATCAGACATTGCAAATAACTAGACATTACCATTTGATCGCATACGGCATTCAGTTCAAAAACGCTTGACCCTTAACTCAAAGCGATGAGTTAGATGTAAATTTCAATAATTAAAGTAATTTTTCTTCCTTAATTATAGTATTCCTTAATTACTTGAAGCTTTATAAAAATTATTACGCTAAAATGTTTTTGGTCGGCTATGTGCAGATGATCTATCTAGTTCCCTGTATGCTTCTGCTTATATTTTACTCTTACGTAAATCGCATAGGTATAAATGTTCGCGACGTTGTTACAGAGCCCCTAGGACAATGGTGGTGGTCATCGACATTCTTTGTTAAACGGTCGTTTTTGGTACGCGCCAAAAAGAACCTTCCCCTCGACTTAGATTTCTATGCAAAAACAAATCATACCATTGAGTCAGAAGAGAAAATTACGCAAAAAATACGCGAGCCTTCGCGACCCTTAGAACTTGCAGTTTGCTTGTGGTATCCAGTGGCAACGGTGACGATGACCGCAGTCGAACAAGCAGACATGGGAAATTGGCTTTTAACTATATGTGTTAGTTTGCTGTAATAATTAACTGTATTCCAATTAGCGTGATAAATTGCAGTGAAAAACTGCCGAATACAGTAAGACGTGTACGAAAATGTGCGTGACTGCCATTATACGATGCTGTTCAAAAAGGGTTGCGGCGAAGGCTACACTACGTCTCCGCACGCCATCGTTAGTTAAGATGGAGTATGTCTACCGCATCCGATTTTTCCACGTGCAACAGTAGTTTTAGGTATAGAAGCATATATAGCATATCGATTCAGATCGCAAAATTTTCGATTGATGTTAAGGACAATTTGTCCACCACAGACGCAATGTAAAAAATTGGAAACCATTGGGTAAAATTGTAAAACACTGGGAAAACATAAGAAAAAATTGGGCAACAGAACCAATCCTTGACAAAGGTGTCTTTTAAAAATAGCATTTGAACCCCTATAACTTCTCAATACATGTCCTTGGAAAAAATGACAAAGATAAACTATTCAAAAGCGCAAGAAATCAAAAACGGATCCCACGGCCGGGCAGACACATACGCACTACCAGTGCTAGTAATTGTTGCAGGTAGGTATCCTCATTAATAGGTGGTTCGTGGAATGAAGATCTAGGCTGAATCGGAGTGAACCTTAGAGCAAGTTGTATATTAGTGAATAGTGATCTCAACAAGGATAAGCCCAATCGGCGAGACTGGACCCTACACACGGCCCACGTAGGTAGGACATTACGCTCTAATGTTGCTAATTCTGCGTATAATATACGTGTCAAACCCTCCATAAAAAATAATTAGGTCGTTATTCTTCTGCACTGTTTTAACGTTATATTCTTCACTCAAATTTCACCTACCGGAAATCGTCAAGGACTGTAATTACTCCCTGGAGAAGTTGAGCAAGACCCTGATATTCTCGTTGTCTGAAAATGAGATAAAATTAAATGCTTAAAAAAAGACACACAACACAGTAGTTATTGCTGCTTTGCTTAAGCGGCTGTCTATGTATGGGTTCAATCATTGGAAGGGCGGCTCCAAACGTTCTTGAAGGCCAAATCATATTTTTTTTATTTATTTCCTAAATCGCTATAACAAAAGCTGGTATAATTTAAGATAAACATTTTTCTATCTAATATAAACTTGTGAGATCTCATTTTATAAACTAGACTATTTACAGAGCTGTCTCACCTTGTAAGGTCACGTAGCCGATCTGCACCTTCAATAAGCATTTGCATCTGATGTAGCGTCTTAATTGAAGCTGTCAAATGTCTTTTGGCATGGTCAAGCTGCTTGATGTCACGAGTAATTTCTGCTACGCGCTTCTCTGACGAATCTGCTTTTTCCTTTCGTACCGTATACAATCAAATATAGCGTATTATTGATCTGAGACCAAAGTGTCTCAACTCGGTTGCCTCTAACACTCTATTTTTCACAGATGAATTATGTAGAAGGTAGACCCGGTAAGAAGAATAAGATTCGATTGACTCCAGACACTGCATATTGTCTAGCAGAGTTCCAAACTATCCCGACAGAGTTTTGCTGCTATCCCGAAGGCCGAGCCTGTGAGCACGCACGCAGTCTTTGTCTACGTTTCTGAAAGCTGTTCGATCAGCTGTTCTTTTTTTTTTTTTACTTACTTTGATATCCTTAACAGAAGCAAAAAGGTGGTGAAGGGCAGTTTGTGCCTCTTTTAATGATGTACGGCCATCTGCATTGGGTGTAGTTTGACAACGTACTACCTCACGTATTTCCTCGTCCAAATCCCTGAATAGAAAAATATGCAAGCTTATTGAAATTGGCCTGTTCGTATATGAGATACACTTTCACATTTGGCACCGTCTCGAACCGGTTTACGTTTGCTCACTTTAGTTTGCTTTTTTTATTTAGATTTTGGTAGAGGTATGTAAGTAGAGATTTGTGAAATTCAAACGCAGATGTTTTGCCACTGGTATTTCGATCTTGCGTTCACGCAATACAGTACATATACTAACCCAATGCGGCCACGCAACATAATCATGACGTCGTCGACGTTTGCTAAAGATTGTTCATTGGGAAATATAGAGTTAATATATGCGACAGGCTCAAAATCTGCTTGGTCAAGAGGGTCACTGGAAGGCAACACCTAAAATAGAAGAAACAATTACTATTATCTATCTATCTATTAATATACGAAGATTATGTAAAGTCTAGCACGTAGAAATAAGATAGATCTCTCAAGCACTAATACCTGATTTAACGCAGCCTGTACTTCTGGAGGGAAGCTAGTCGCATACAGAATATCTTCACGACTCATCGTGCCTATGTAGTACAACCTAAGTTTCATGAAACAATCCGAAAAATGAGAAACCTTTAGACGAGTATAATTTAAGTCTTCAATTTATAATCAGTTCTAATCTGTAACCTAACTTACTAGTCAGCTTTATGTTATCTAGCTGATGTGATCCCAACGTGATATACGAATATTGCACCTCAATCCAATGCTTCATTCTAAATGCTTTTGACAGGGTTTAATAATTACCGGTCTTAGTTGACAATACAGTCGATAGCAGTGTACTACCACAATCGATTGTTTAAGCCCAGATTCTTTTAGCACTTCCTAGATTTCATACATTGCATCAGATGGTTTCACAGCGAGTCGACAGTTATACCGTCCAGTGATGCGGGCTCTCCGCCAATCCAAACTGGCGCCACAATATTTCCGTTGTTAATATGTCATAGTAAGCCTTTGGAGCGATCAACATGAACAACTGATCTCGATAAATAAGATTCTACTTTTCTCTTCAATTACCGTGTTTGCTAAAACGAACGCTGCCCTTTCTTTTAAGTGCCCCTATAGAAAGAAACGATTATTTTAACCTACGTTGTCGTTTAAACAACTTTTCCATATAAATTGTACAGACACATTCAGCCATCTGTTAGTAACACTCAAACCTCTGCCGCAAAGCCAACAGCTGCTTTTATTATGGTACAAGGGGGACTTGACGTTCGATTTGACAACAGGGCACCTCTCCGATGGGATGCACTCCATTGCATTTAGCCAAAACACATCAAGACTAAATGAAGTTTGAGCACTCTTTCGGGGTTCGTTTCTACGCGTTCCTTGGGATCCTGTTAAGCACAATTTTTATCCTAATCATCGTTTTTCTTTGTTTGGGTTACCCGAAACCTGCGCTAATTATTTTATACAATAGGCCATCAAGAGCACCACAAATAGGAACAGCTCACGTCCACTTTCAGCATTCGGCGTATACGATTATTTGTAACAAACGGGATAGGCGCACTTGCGCTAAACCGTTGGGGTTAGCGAAGCAGACGCCTGTTATTACTTGACTTTCGAGTAAAGAGGTAAATACTGATTCAATCACGGTTAATGCATTTATTCGTTCGGCAGATATTAGGTCGGATTGTTTGTGACTCTGGGACGACCGGTGTTTTGATGCGTGTATATGTAACGGTATTGGGAACGCCGCTAAACTTTTACGTTGAAAAAAACACCGAAAACAGCTTCCTCCATAATAAAATCTGGCCGCTTATCTCTGTTCGATTTTTGGCTTGAAACAGCTTAGTTCACAGGCAATATGAGTCACGAAAACGGTTGAGCAAGTACGCGCGTACGACTTTGTAGGTGTAGAGGAAGAACACTCTAAGGGCACGGGTTTTAATACGGGTTCTAATTCAGCGATCATTCCAGCGTCGCACGATGTCAGGATTATTCCTGAATAAATATCTAGATTTGCTCATTCGTCCATTCAGTTTGGTACCTCTAGTCTAAACTATTATTTTTCTTAGCTATTCTTTTTAACATTAGACGTGCAATTTAGTTGCTGATTATTCTTCACACACATATTATTTTGCCCACAGTTAGACAGTTACAACATGTGTGACTAAATAGTTAAAAGTATTTTTTTTTATCTAGCTACGCATTGATTTGAACTATCCACCTTTCTGCGCATGCGATTTCCACTTAGTACGGATATATTCATCATGGGCCCGCTCACCGTCCGCCCGCACTCTCCGTGCTTGTTTATATTGCGATGCGTACATTCAGAGCTGCTGCATCCATCTTGGAGTTGAATGGATACAAAGAGAAGCAAAAGAGAGAAAGACTCTCAAAACACAACCAGTAGCAGCAGCAGCAGCAGCAGCAGCAGCAACAGCAGCAGAAATCTAATGGTAGGGTGGTGAGCTCTTGGCACGCGGGTGAGTGAGTGTTATGCTTGATCCACCCGTCAGCGATCAGCAGAGTGCCTGCCGACATAAGAGCTGTTCGCACATCGATCACCGCTGCTACTACCTCGGCGAGAGAGCTTCCAGCGACTGTTTACGGCAACCCGCTTGTGTTTGCTGCTGAGTCTGCTACCGCCTGCAGCTCGAATGAACGCCGTTGGGTAGGCTCGTTTACTCGATCGTCGTCCGGTGATGGTCGTCATCATCATCGTACTGTATTGTCGGGAACTGTCGCAGCGATAGGGTAGCGATTGTCGTGTTTTGTCGCAGCAGTATACCTTTGTAAGTGTATGTTGTATGTGGGATCAGTGCTACCTGGCGAATGCAGCCCAGTCGACGCTGGCAGCGGGCTAACCGCGCCGCCAGCGACGCAGCAGCAGCTCATCTGACGCGCCCAATGTGCGCTCGAAATCGACTAGCCTTTTCATTGGATTCGGTTAAAGAAGACGTCGCCAAAGTGGACAAGACGCCCACTATTTAGACTTAAGACGCGAGACAAAAAAACGTGCCACAACAGCAGCGAACGTAAGTCGAGCGGTAAAAAGATCGGAGGAAAAGGAAGGAGAGGACGGCTGACTCTGCCCGTGTTATTCGATGCGACAGCACCCATCAAACCAACAACACTAGTAGTAGAATCGTCATTACCTACTACTGCTACAACGCTTACTTTTATATTGCAAAGCACTCGCAGTAATAGGAGTCGTCATAATAACAAATAATATAAGTACTGTATTAGTAATAGTGGCGGAAATTGTTGTTCGTGGCGGTGGCTGCGGCAGCTCCTTGATTGACCCTTGTCGATTGCATCGCCCGCCAATCCACTGGGGCTCACTAGATTCTCTCATGAGTCTCGCTCGCCGTCCGTATCTCGGCATTGTTAGCACCAATCACTAGTGAACGTTTGAATTCGTGGTGTCGGAAATTGTGAGCAGGCCCCGCCTTGTTTACGTTATCCAATGTGCAAAACGGTGCATTTCTTCAGCTCGAGGTGCTGTTCTAGCTGACGTTGATAGCGTCTCTATTGCGCTGTCACGGTTAACAATAACAACAACAGCAGCAGCAGCAACAACAACAACATTGATTGATGTTATTATTGTTACTATTACTGTGATCACTGTTAGATGACGATGAAGATGCGTGGATGCTCCGGCTGCGACAACGAGGAGAACAACTGAGCATTGATATACTCTAGACAACAACAACGACCTGTTGTTGTCATCATTATGGTAATGTTGTAAGGCTTCTAAGTGCTACACCTTGCGACAACAACGATAACATCATCGTTACTTTTACTTTTTTCGAAGTAGGACTTAAGGACTGGTGAATAGCTCACAGTACCCAGGTGTAAAGCAGGCGGGAAGTTAGACTACCTAAATAGACCGCTCGCCGATTTTCGTGCAAAGAAATCCGAGTGATTCAGGAAATAACACGTTTTCCGAAAAACGTAAAGAATACGCCCCTCCCTTCATTTCCGCACTCTCTATCCGAGCCACCAAGCCCCAACACAAAGTGAGGCCATCGTCGAAACTAAGGCTCGTGCGCGCGTGTGTGTGTGTGTGTGTGAGTGTGTATGTGTGAGTGTGTGTGCGTGTGTGGAAAACCAGAACTGTTAAAGGCTACCAGTGGACCTAGATCTGAGCCTATCCAGGTGATTTTAAAATCGGGTAAACAAAAACGGAATAACAGCGTCTGTGTGCATTCTACAATATAATCAACGTTACAAACCTCAACTTAATTCTCTACGGACCCCTAACGAACGCTCAACGAAGTGCGATAAGCCGGTCATAATAGAGCAACAATAGTCCATCCCGATCGGTTCCTTTTGGTTTCTTTGTTTGTCTATGCAACAGTTTCGCTGCCGCTGTAGCTGTAGCTGCCGTCGTTGTCGCCATAGCCGGTGTCGTCATCACGCTCGTAGGCTTGTGGCACACAAGGCACAAAAATACGTGCGGACAGACACGGTCGATTCGTTGACCAATTGCGCTAGGTTGAATGAGACAGAGGAGGCTCGCCGCGTCATTGTAGTGAGAGATTTTTGCCGCCACTGTCGACGTAGCAGCAAACGCAACGCTACGCGCTGCCGTCGCCGCCGTCCTGTATAAGTTCGCTCAGAGGCGTCATAATATGTGCGCATAGAAGAGGTTGAAAGCAAGGCTCATTTAAAAAACGATACCGTCGGAGTTGTGCGAGATTGAAAAATAAAGAGGGAGAAAGAGAGAGAGAAACGTGTATGTACAACGTGTGTGTGAGTGAGTGAGCAAGCGAGCGTGTGCTTGTGTAAATTTGTTATATTGTGCTCTGGTGATCGCTGGAACAAGAGCGTCTTGCGGTTTCGCTCGTATCGTACCGCTTCAATTTGGATGCTCCGCAAACGTACTAATTGAACGCTGGTTAATCATAGTAGATAAAGGATATTGAGTACGAAATGGAGTAGTAATCAGTAGTAGAAAACTTGTCGCGCGAAAAAGTGCTAACCATTCGTGAATATTCGAGAATAAATCGACAAGAACCGAACAGTTATCAGAGCGTTAGCTGCTCCAATGTTTGCACAGTGGGGTTTTGAGATTGCGATCCGGTGACGACGACGCCGATTGAACTGCCTCTACTAACCGGAAGTGACCCTCATAAGAAAGGCCCGGAGCAAGCGGACCTTTCCCTTTGCTAGAAAGCGGCGATGGATAACACGCTTGACGATGATGACAACAGGTTATTAACTTTCGCTTGTGTTACTAAGTGTTTGTTAGTATTTATAGTGGGCTTATGAACTGTGTATATGAACATATAGGGTGACCACTGTGAACTGTTGTTTCATTGGGTACGTGAATGGCCCAGCATAACCTTGTGGCCGCAATGATAAATCTAGCCATCAAAAAAAAGCAAATATTTTTATTAGCCTGAAGTTAGCCAAAAAGGAACATTGTTGGCACTTTTGTGCTAGTATCTACTGTCAGATTTTCAGATGCCAATTTGAAAAAAAATCCTAAATAATAATAATAATAGCATTAGTGAGAGGTTCTAAAATGATTGGCATGCGTATTCGACTCTAACAATACGATGGCATCACCAGCAACTTATGTTAAAGAACCCCTGAGCGAGGATCAGTTATCACCTAGGGAAGGTGATTCGTTGTGTATAAGCTTGCTACTCTGATTTAGAGATGAAGCATTTTCCATTGATGAGATCAACTAGTACAAAAAGAGGGTAGGCATTTGGTCGGAAAATTTTACTGGGCACATTTTATATATACAAAGCATCGAGATCACGGCCAAGATGGAAGTACTGAGTCATTTTCTATTGACTAGTGCGCTGATCGCCATGTTCATTCTATCTTAGAACTACGTGCTCTTTGAATAAGCACTGGAGGATTGTATCATAAGTTTGTCCACGTTTAGTCTCTGAGACTTTTAGAGAGGTCGTCTGGACTTGGCATAGATACATGTATACCTCTTCTACCCATAACTATAACAAACAATTAAAGTGGCGACACTGCTTTGCAAAGTATAATAATTTCCGAGATTTATGAGGCGAAATAACAAGAGTCACTTGAAGCTGCATTTGAGATTTCAAATTGATCCGTGCTTTGTTGGTTCGCAGATAAAAAAAAAAATGGGACCCAGAAACTTAAGTCTACCAATCGATCTTTCAAATTCGCATAAATGACGATCAGGCTTTTCGAGTCCGCATATTAATTTTGGACTTCGTGTGGAAAAATGAGTTTGAACAAATACACGTAACATCCTTAATAGTATATACAATTTTTTCAGTGATAGGAATGTGTCTATTTTGTGTATGGGTATAAAAATTCGCTATATCATTTGTCAAATAGCGGATTCGCTGTTTTTTTTTTTATACTTGTGTATCCTATGAAACTGAGCAATGCACGACATGAATCATGCCGCAAGCAGCGTGTTACATATGTGGCGCTAAATGAAATATTCTTCAAAGTATTTATGAAATTTATGCTAATCTACAAATAACGTTGGCTTCACTTCGGTTTTCAATTGACGCTGTTACTATTTCGGTAATAAAATAATGCAGTGCTGCTCAACTATACATTCTGCTATCTTCTAGCATACATGATCACGCGATTAACGGTGGTCACACTTTAACGAGCCTTTAAAGTTGAACTACCTGCCTAAAATAAAGTTCCCTGTTTATAGTCAAGTATCAGTCAATAATTTGTTAGTCAAAATGTTTTTGTTTAAAATGTTCGTGTCTGTTTAATCTGATAGATTCAACTAAAAATAGGAAGTACGTACACAAGGTTATGAATGAATTGAGCATTGCTAACTTCTCCCAAGATGATTAGCGAATTTGCTTATAGATTTTAGCCAAGCGATAAATTTATGTATTGGCTATAAATAAGCAAACCCTAGTAATCCTAAAAAGCATGACTCATCTCATTAGCACTTAAAGGAGAGGGGTTATTAGTTTAAAAAGGAATATAAAAATAATGAGAAATATTGAGAAAATTTGTAGCTCCAGGCAGTGAACCGAAACATCCTTAGAATTACGGCGTTGCTCCATTATACTGCCGCCTTCTATCCGTGCTTAATAAAAAACCTAAAAATAACTTTACTCCATTTAACAACGTAGAACTTTTAACAGCATCTCAAAAAAGTTATAACTTATGTAACAAAAGGAATGAAATATCGTTGAACCGTCTCGGCTGACTAAGGAACGAAAGCTCATAACAGATATTGGAAAATAATTACATTACAGAACAAGTATGTACTCCACGGTATACCGACTACTCGATAAACATACCGATAGGCCCGTGGCAGTTCCTTCTGCAGCGTAGGTTCGTTTATCATAATCTATCTGATCATTCCACATGGACTATCCACTAAAACTACGCACGTTTTCAATGAAAAAAAACCTGTAGTTACATACAACTTTAATAATTGTCATAATGAGACAGGCCTCATTAAATGGTAAAAAGAACTGAGCTAGTGCTAACGGTGCAATAATCGGCTGAGAAAAAGCTGAGAAATATATATATATATATATATATATATATACATACAACGAAGACAAAAATAAATAGACACCTCTATCACTATACGAAAGACATCTGAATACGTAGTCGTGCATACGAATTTATTTTTACAAAAACAACACCGAATGGACAGAGTTTCCGATGGTTGTAGAGGAATTTTGTTAAATACAACCTTATCTGATTAATCTAGTCTAAAGGCGGTCACGCTGTCGGTCATTTTAAGGCTTCAGCATGTTAATCGAACTATGTCGTGCATCTTTGTGACCGAAAGAAGCATTTTAAAGAATTGCGGACACTTTGTCGACGTAACTTTGGGGCTAAAAGATGTATTTCTAATTTAAAAAACGCAATTTAATTGATTTCAATAAAAAGAAAACATTCATTCAGTAATTAATAACATTCGTTTTAGCGGCCCATACAAACAACCACAATATGTTTAGTGTAATTTATCTAGGGAAATGGGACTGATTTCGTGTCGGGCTTTTTTCTGTTTTGTTTGCTTCGTTGATGTAAACTATCAGGTTCGTATTTTCAAAACGCAAAAAGAAGGGCGCGTGGAGTTCAGATAGGGTTTGATTCAGAAGCACGTTGTGCAAAGGTGCAGTTTTAAAAAACGTGATTCATTTAACGAAGACATCGAATACTTACATTTGACATAGAGGAATGGTCATTGTGCTATCACTGTATCATATCATGTTTTAAGCTCGCAACTTTGGTTACTATTATCGGTGGAGATCGTTTTTATGATAATCGCTTGCGGTTCATGAATCAACTGGCATTTACATGTTTGTCTTAAATATGGCCTGACATCGACTGCGTTTCCAAAGGTGAGCAAAATTTTCACTATATTGCACCATAACCGAAGCTGTAGCATGGTATTTGTATCAAAATATCGAAACTGCTACACGGTTACTTGAGGACAAAGACTTGTATTCAAGCCCTGTATTCAATTTGCAAAAGTACGTTATGCTTGATCCTTTTATTGTTTTAAATTAAAAATACTTTTCAGCTTTTAAATGAAGGAAAGGCAACGTTTTTATAAAAAATCATTTCGTTTACTAAAGCCAGAAAAATTTGGTTTGTTTCCTAGAACCACGAACATTTAGACGCTTAATTAATATTAATAGGAAGTTGTAATCACTTTTATAACTTATTAATTGGCGTGAACCTGATGGATTTGCTTTCATACGATTCACTTGGCGACATTGGGTCTACTGTTAGAATTATGCTTAGTGCTGCCTCGTTGGTCGATATCGTTACCTTCAATACTTAAAAGTTTTCAGTGTCGTTAAAGATGATCCGTCTATTTGCACATTAGATAGATAGTAGCATAAACAGTTTAAACTTTGCTTCATCTTAGGCATCCATAGACTTAACCAAAGTCTGTGGAATAAACGTGGCTCTCATGGTAATGGCGTAGTAGGTAGGGTGTTTGTTGGCTAAACGTGATTGATGGGGGGGGGGGAGGCGTGCTGGTTTAGGTTCGGATCTGATCCAGGACAAATTTCGTCTTACGTTGCGACCCAGTCGTATAGTGAAATGTCTAATCCCGGTACTGGACGTAACATTGAGGGAGAGACACGGCCAACAAATGCAAAGTAAATGTCTGTTTGTCAATATATACAGAATAAATTCACGTTAGAGATGATAGAATTTTCAGAAGTTACGACTGCTGTCGAAGAGTTGCTGACCGCCCCTTTCGATAGTTTGTGGATGCTTATATCTTAAGATGCTTAACAACGACGAACAAAAGTCCTGTGTGGAAAGTATTTCGAGACTTCTGTTGATTTGTGGTAATTATGTGGCTCTTTACATTGATCGCTAGTGGGTTACGCCATTTAGCTTCGAACCCTGGAAAAGCGCACTTAACTTGAAATGTGAGCATGGCTTTCCTACAGCTGTTATCAAATGTCTATGTGAAACTAGTTTTTAAGTGATCGAAATTATCAAGCTGTTCCACTAACAGGTCAGTGGTTATACTAGGCCGATATGCTTTAGGTTAATGCCTACCCCAGAAAATAAATTAGGCCAAATGCAGTACCACTTCTGCTGTTACTACAGATGTTTTTTTTTGTTAGCCGTTTTAGAAAGCGTCTAAGAGTATCTATTTAGTAATCATATTAGTGGTCCCTTTCACGTTCTACGATATTCTATAATATATAGGTACCGTACATTATTTTTCAATTTCACCTCGTTTCTTATATAT